TGTCCCTTTAACCATCTTGCTAAAGAGAGACAGCTTACTCCAGATCCTCTTGGAAATACATAGGCTGCTGCCTGTCTCCATCACTGGCAGCTCAGTACTGGCTTGGCACTGGGGACCAGCCCAGGGTCCAGCCTCATCCCCCAGGCATGGGCTTCTTTCCTCTGCAACGTTGGTGTGTCTTCCTCTCACAGACAAATGTTCTCTGCTTTGCCAGCTTGGTACACTCGTCAGCTTATGACATTTGATAAAAACCCAGGAAGTCAAAGAGTTATCAGTGGCAGCACCAAAGGGAGTTAAAGGAAATCTGCTGAGAAGTTGTTGAGAAAGAGAGCAGGTCTCTGGCCACAGCCTCCTGGGGAGACTTTCCAAGGCCAGAACGTGACATGCTGGTAGCCCCTTCTGCAGAGAATTTGCTCAAAGAAATGCAATCCTCCATGAACAAAGGGCATCGCAGAGCCATGGGAGCTGCAGCAACAGCAGAAGGCCAGCTGTGGGCGCAACAGAAAGCCCTGCAGAGAACTGGAACAGACAGGTACGCAAGCCTTGCTCTTCTGGCTGGGCTCTGGCTCTTGGAAAGGGCAGACGGCCACGCTCTCCTGTGGTCACCCTCTAATCACCCCCTCAAGCCAGGCCCCTGGGAAGGGTTCGGCCAGCGACCCTCTGTCCAGAGGCAGCTCCGTCGTCTCCCTCCTCCAGGGCAAGGCGCTTTCCCCAAGGCTCCGGGCTGTCTGGCTTCACTTCTTGGCGACTAACCATGGACTCTGGCCCTTGAGGAGGTATAAAGAAGGGGATGTTTAAGAAGGAGCCCCGCGGGTGCCTCCTGGACTGGGCGATCCCACAGACCCAGCTGACCTTGGCCGAAGTCCAGGACCCTCCCAGTTTGGATCTGTCCTCTCTGCCCTATTTCTTCCAACACAAGTCCATTTGCCATCCCCTGATTCGAGAAGTGAGTGTGGCCCAGAATCATGCTCACTGGATGATTCTATCAGGTAAAGGAGGATGAGGCAAGGGAGGGGACCCCCTGCGTGTGCCCGCCAGCTCTTCCTTCTCTGTTTTGTAATCCCTTCTGGGCCAACTGGGTTCTCTCTCCATTCTGGCTTTGCTGGCCGTCACAGTGTCCTCATTGAGCACAGAGCCCTTGCACTGCTGGGCATCCCTGTTAGCTCCTGTGCCTTACAGTCCTCAGTAGCCCCATCCCTCCCTTCTCACTCCCTGCACACAGTAGTTGCTTGATAAGGTATCAAGCTTGATAAGGTATGTTGATAATTCGGCAGGTCATAGATGTTTATGAGCCTGGACCATTGGGTTGGGGGAGACTTGAGCTGGGTCTATCGGAAGTCTACTGAATAAAAAAGTCCTTCCCCTCTAAGGGTTCACTGTCTAACATGGGAGACCAACTTTCCTACTCCAACAGACTGAGGAGGAAGCAAAGAACACAGAGTGCCTGGTGTTCCAAGGAGGGAACTCATCCAACTGAGGAGCCCAGAAAAGTCTCCCGGGGGCCATGGTGTCTAAGCAGGGACTTGAAAAGAGGGTAGAATTTTGCAGGAAGAAAGACATTCCAGGCCAAGGGCCCAGCATGGGCAAAAGTGAAAGCTGTGGGAGGTGGGGAAGGAGAGGAGACAAGTAGGGGTCAGTGAACAGGCCCTGGAAGCCCTCCAGGGAAGGCCTGGATGGTGCTGAAGCCTTGTCCCTAACTCAGTTCTGCCTCTGTCTGTCAACAGACCTTGGCTGTTCTTCAGGGCAGGGCTTTTCTAGAAACCAGAGGGCCCATGTGTGTGAAGAATTCTGCCTTAGTGTAGACAATCCAGCTTCCTTCCCTGCGCCCTCCTCCACCTCCCTCCACCGGAGTGAGGAGCCTGCTGCTTCAGGGGAGCTCCGCGGAGAAATGAGCGGCGGGCGGTTCCCCTGGTCCTGCCTGCCTTCTCCGCTCTCTGTCTCCATATGCGCCTCCTTTTCCTTCCTGCTCCACGCACCGGCGGCCTGTTCTCCTCTTCCTTTTCAGGAGTTTGGAGTCTTAAGTGCTTGATGCCTCAAGTTGCCTGAGAATGTATCCAGGGCAGGGTACAGGGCAGGGTGTAGGGCAGGGGCCAGGCCAAATGCGTGGCGTGTGGGGTGGGGATGGGAAGGGGTGCAGAGAGCCTGAGATGAAGGACACTGGGCAAACGGACTATGGAAGCACAGTGTCCCTGGCATCTGAGGGGCTTTGGGCCCCCCCTGCTGCAAGCCAAGTGGTTAGAGCTATAGTGCTCAGTCTCTGATGGATTCAGCAAGTAGACACCAATGTGAGAAGCACCCTCTGCCACCATGCCTGCCCTAGGGGAGCTGACCCTGTCACCTCCTCCTGTGTGGCCAGGTCCCCTTGGACTGCTGTTACTCAGAGTTACGAAGCACACGCATGCCACACAGTTTTGCAATGCCAATTCCATGCATAACACTATCACAGCCAAAGGCTCTGGGTGGAGGGACGTGGAGGACATCAGCATCCAAATGCTCCCTGGGCCTGACTGGTCAGTTCACAGAGAACAGTCCCCACAGGGTGGTAATATGCCCCACTGGGCAGGGCTGGGTGCGTCGCTCTCTCCGTGGGCTGGCAGTTCTCAACAGAGGGGGCTGCCATTCCCCAGGAGGGACTGAGTGTCTTTAACCTCTGGGAGCCTTCTCTGGCCACCAGCCCCTCAAGCAGCCCTTCCCCAATCCTTTCCCTCTGCCACGCACCTGTGTCTCTCCTCCTCACATCTGGTCTGGTCTGCCAGCGTGAGTACTGATCCGCAGCTCTGCCAACTTCCTGACCATTTGTCCCCCTGCTTCTAATCTCCCCGCACCACATTTGATGCAGGGTTAAGGTCCACGTGGAGAGGCCTTGGGGTAGGGCGCGAGAGTTGGGAGCCCGGGGCGGGGGGCGGGATGTGGGAGCTTGCAGCTCGCGCCTGTGCCCGGAGGCGGTCCCAGCAGAGGCTGCTCCTTGGGGAGACAATGTGTTTGCATAAATGAGGCCCAGCCCCTGTGAAGTGCTACCTACTGGGGAGGGCAGTGTGGGCGATGAAACCAGGCGAACTGTCTCTATTTCTCTGAGTACCAGACTGCTTGCAATGAAATGTGCCAAAGGCCTTTCTCCCCTGATCTGGGGTTCTCCTGCCATCTCCCTTGTACTTATTTTCCTTGACTCTGAATATTCAACTTTTCTTTGTGCACATTTCTATTTTATTATTTATAGTATTGTGCAGGCCTTCAGACCCTGGCGGTATTAGCTGAGGTATAATAAGCAAATGAATAACAGCAGACCGAAACACAGTAAGGGAGATTTCTGTTGGCCCGCAGTTTATCCAGGGCATTCAGCTAACACAGAATCTCAGTTTCTGGAACTTTCCAGTGAATGTTGGGCTCTATTTTGAGATCGTTGGTGGGTTCTGATTACTCCAAGGAGAGCCTTAAAGGGAATGTGGCTGTGGGTCCAGAAGAACCAGGTTACGCTCTGACTGCTCAGGACCTCAGATGGGGGGAGGAAGCAAAAGGGAGCGGTGAGGGGGTGCATCGGAGGTGGCATCAGTCGGCAGAGCCAGGGCAAGAGCAGGGCTCACGGAGCAGAGGATGCGGGTGGGCCCCTGTGGGCTCCTCCCTCCGTACAGTAGACAAGAAGTTGTATTTTATGACTCCCCTGGTAGAAAGGTGAATCTGACCCTGCCTGGATTCATGATTATATATTCACTTTTTTCTTCTCAATTTAAAAGAAATGAAATTTAAAATATTTTCTCAGCCCCTGAAGGTACCGTGGGCCTCGGCCATGCCTGATGGAGAGAGGTCGGCCCTGGTCTGGGTGTTGCTTGGAAAGCGCTGCCCCCTGGAATTCTCCCTCAGTAGGAAAGGCGACTTCTGCCAGCTGGTGGCTTGGGCCTGGGTCCCTCATGCTTCTGTCTTTGAATGGAGTGTGTCCTCAGGGAGAGGGCAGATGAGCTCCATTCAAAGACCACGGAGGTCAGCGCTAGTTCAAGTGCTCCACTTTTCAATGGGAAGCAGAGACTCAGAGGAGGAAGTTGCCTATTTCCAAAATATCTAAGTGGACGTTTAGACTAAGTGGACTGCTGGCACAGTCCCCCGGGGTTTGGCGGCATTACCGTAAGAGTTTGTGAGTGAGACCTCACCCTGCAACGTGGCCGGGTCTCGAGATGTGAGGCCCGCTAATTTAGCTCGCCTGTGACTGTGTGGGCGGAGTCTGAGTGGGAGTTTGCCTGTGTACTGTTTACAAAGAGAGGATATCTAAAGAAAAATTAAAAGGTAAGCAAAATGAGGAGGGTGTTTAAACTACTGAAGTACGTAGTTTGTTATTTTCAAGACCTTTAGAAGCACCAATTTATGTTGTAAATCATGTAACAGTAAATTTGTGTGCTACACCATAGTTGATTCTTTTGTCTTTAAAATAGGTTTCCTGAGACCTCTACTAAGCAGGGTACTATGAAGAGACAGCAGTAAAACTCTATGTCTTAAAAAACAAAAACAACTTCAGATTGACCCAGTCTGGCCCAGATTCATGACTGTTTTCTGACTGTATTTTGTTGGGTTGAAATGGCAGATTAGGCAAACTAGTCAACCACTAGTTGTAAGTGGACCTTGCAAATGACAGCACCAACCACAATAGTGGCTGCAGCTCAAAGGAAGAATAACAAAAAAACCCCACCAAAAACCAAATGTAGTAGCGAATGGCCCTTTGTAAGTCTGGGGGCCTTAGGGCGCGGAGGCGGTTTCAGCACAACTGAATGATGCTGCAGTGAACTTGGAATATGTGACAGTAGACATTGCTTAATGGAGTCCCCTCCCTCCTTCTGTTGGACTTAACATTTCAAAACATTATACTTCTGAGAAGCTTGCTTCTGGGACTTCCTGCTTTCATAAGAAATAATGTATTTAATTTAATGATTAATCAGGATCATGAATGCTATGTTTCATTTTTTTTAATAATGAAAATCCATAAGAGTTTAAAATATTCTTAGACACAGCTGGTTTGGTAAACACCACAGACTTTCATGTTTTTGTGGATTCATACCGCAAAAGCCAGTACCTTAGTGCTGGTAGGGTCCCTTTGGCACCAGAATGCAATAATTTATTAAGTTTCAATACTTAATAAGTGTGCACAAATATCATGCAAACATATGACCACATCAGAAACAAAAAGTGTATTAGAGTCGTAGACTTATACAAAACATCTTGTAAACGAAAGAAGAGATGTTGGTATTTTCTGTACAAAATATGCAGGTTTTTACTTTTTTAATAATCTGTAAGATGCATCATACTTCTGGCATTTTCAAAAAGTAAAAACTGTATAAAAATAAATATTCTATGTACAAACACACACACAGGCCAATCCCAAGTTAGAGGCATCACTGCAAAACAAAAACAAACATAAAACAACACACAGTTAGTGTCAGTGGGTCTCTGGGTGTTTCTTTCCCTTGTGCGAAAGGAGATAGATCTTGTCCTGGGTTGGATGGGAGTTTGCGATGGGCAGCTGGGGTTGAAGACCCTGGTGCTGACTGTCTGCACCCTGAGGGTGGGAAACCACTCACCTTCCAGTCACTCCCCTTCCTGGCCAGCAGAGGGCACTCTCTGTCTATGCTGCCTGTGGACGCCAGGCAGTTGAATTACTGAGCACCCCAGACTGAATTTATGGTGTAAGCCAATAGACACAGGAGGCTGTCTAGTTGCTTCTTCAAAACCTTGCGGCTCTAGAGAGCGGCTGTTTTTCCCCCACAAAGCGCAGCCATCTCCATTCCCTAACCATCAGCAGCAACCTTGACGAAGAAAATCTTATTCTTAGGGGGCAAGGAGTGGCATTTGACAGATCTCTTATCTGCTTCTGTGGAGCTTTAACTACACCTAGGGGAACCTGCCAGAGGACGAGGCATGGCTGGGGGGACAGATGCTTGGAGAGGCACCTGCCTGGGGCGCTGAGCTTTCCTTTCTCTGGTGCTTTAGATACCTGGGTGAGTAGGTGCTTCACCGAGGGCCTGGGGACTTGGTGGTTTTACTGCTTTTACCCACTCCTGTGAACTAGTGAGGTTCTGGGCATTTAGCACAGGGCAGTGTGTTCATCTCATTGTAGGCATGACTCTGCTGTCACTGGGGCAGGACGGGCATAGCTAAGCACAAACTCTGGGACGGGTTGGGGCCTCCAACCCTGTTATGAGGATGTAACAACACCTCCAGCCCATGTGGTAGAGGGCTCTGGAAAGCCTTTGATGGGGGCAAGGTGGAGGCAGGCTGTGGTGAGACAGCAGGGCCACTGTTTCCTTTGCTGGGGACCACGCTGGGCTTCTGAATTAGCAAACCGATGGTCCTGGTTAGGCTGGGGAGCCCTGTGCCTTGGGGGCTGTGGCCGAGCGGGTGGTCGTGTGCAAGAGTGCAGCAAAGTCGGCGGCTTTGATGATGGGAAATACCAAAGCAAGTATGAATAAATGAAAGCTCATTGTTGGAAACTCGGAGTTGCAGGTCTCCTGTGTGGGAGCAGGAAGCTCTGACAGCTTATATTCAAGGGAAGGGTAGCGTGGTGGGCTGGTTAGTCTCTTTGTGGAACGATAACACCCATGTGGGTTTATAGTTTAAGAATTTTCGATTTCTTACATCTGGATAAATGTTATCATATGGCTTAAATGACCTCAGATGAACACTATGAGAATAGCTAGTGATGACTAATTTTAAAACACAGTCTGGAGCGCCTTGGAGGAAACGCGAAGCCTACAGTGTCATCTGTGTGGCTACATGGAAGTTCCATACACCAGGTTTGTTGATGCCTTAAAAAGTACTCTTACATGTTCTCCAAGTGTGTGCGTGCGTGGGATGTCTAATGGGCAATCTGCCTTTGGGATCATGCCTTTTTTCAACCCATGTCTTGCCGCCTCATCTGCAGAAAAGCCCAGGATGGAAATTGTGCGTGCTTGTCACACTGTTGAGGACAGAGTCCCAGCTACACCAGTGGCCCTGAGGCCCAGCAAATCTCTGGGAAGGCTTACCTTGTTCCAGCAGCCCTGGACTGGTAAGCCGTCCTCGCCCTGCAATAAGGAAGGAAAGCACATGGCTCAGACTCTCCAAGATGACCCACCGGCAGGCAGGACAGGGCAACAAGGGGCACAGACACTGTGGCAGCTGATCAGGATCAGCCCGCCTGCCATTGTCTACTTTTCTATTTCTATTTCTTCCAGGTCAGGGACCTGGAAGGACACAGGAAGCAAGTCCATCTGCTCTCCCCTTGGCTTGGGTCACCTGAGGTTTCAGTGCACGGCCCAGAGGGGCTGTCCCAGCCTGAGGGGTCAGCGAGCAGAGGCAATGTGAGTGCTATGGAAAGACCCGCCTGGTCTCCGCTCTGGCTGCACTGAGCGCTCTGTGCTTATGGGCAAGTCGCCCCGCACTTGGCTGCCTCAGTTTCCTCCTCTGTAAAGCTTGGGGAAGGTGTGGCTGTATGAAATGACTGTTAAGGTGCCCCCCAGTTCTCCCATTCTCTAATTGTTTTCTCTTCCTTATCAGTGGAAGGAAGAGATCAAGGCATTTCCCATTTGAGGCTGAATAAGAAGGAGGAGGGGTGCAAAAGGACGTGGCCCTGAGGTACCTTCAGCAAGGTGACAGGGGCTTGCTGGGGATTTTGGAGGGAGATGCAGTGGCAGGACAGGAATTAACTCTGTGCCATTTGCCCCTTTGCTGTTGGCACCCACAGAGCCCCGGCAGCCTCAGGATGTCCTGTGTTCTGGGGCCCTGATGTCCTGCCTCTCTGGCATGCCCTGGGGGAATCTAGGAGTCTCTGAGAGACAAGGTGGGAGGGGAAGACTGAACCAGGGCAAAGATTGGGTCCCTGGTCCATGTCTGCTAGAACTGCAGCCCAGATTCTAGAATTCCAGGCTCCAGGGCAGAGGAAGAGATGGACACAGGGTTTTTGGGGCCAGAGCAAGTGGTCAGCCCCAGGGAGATTGACTAGGAGTCCTCTGGGCCCCAGACCATTTTCATTCACCCATGACAGGTACCTAAACCCCTCACCTGGCATCCAGCAGGTAGCCAGAGCCCCACAGAGGGCCAGAGAAGTCTAGTTATCGTGTTCGAAAAATCATGATCAATAGCACCCCTGCCCCCATGCCCACAATCACAAAATGCAGGAGAAGGGGAAAACAGCAACCAGAAATAGAGGGAAGATAAGTGCACTTCCACAGCAAAATTAATAGACCAATGACATATCAATACGGGATGTTATTGGAGAATACGCTAGTTTGCATTAAGGATCAAATAAACATGTCCTTTGTTGTCCCCTCTGGGTGAGGGGTGGGTCTGCAGCGGGAGGTGGTACCTTCCAGAGCTTCTTGAAGACCTTATGCCCCCTTCCCCAGCCCGCCACGGGGCACCATTTCCCATGGACTTAGGAAGGGAGAGGAGCCTCCGCCGGCCACAGTGGCATTCCCATTGGCACATGGATGGTGGCAGGGGGGGCAGAGGAGGATGGGGCAGGTGAGGATACTGGTGACGTATGAGAGAGGAACAGGGAGGCCAGGGCTGCAGCTGGCAGAACTCAAGGTGCTCAGACTGTGGAAGGGATGTGGCAGAGGGGACAGGTGGCTGATGATTCATGAAGGTGCTTTGGAGTGACAAGGACATTCTACTGCTGAGAAAGGTGCCTGTGCATGCCGCATGCTCGGGGTCCACAGGCCAGGCCAGCGGGCACATGCGGGAGGCAAGCAAGGGTTTTAGAAGTGAGGGACTGGAGGCATGCTACTCTGCGTGCTTGTTCTCTTCTCCTTTTGTCATCGGTCTGAAAAAGTCTCTAGAAATTCTCCTGAAGGGGTTCTATGGTCATCTTTTGGAGTCAAACAGCATATTTTTAAAACTAGTGTTTTCTATTCAAAGATAATTCCTGTGTGACCTCAGGGTGGGGATGTGGGGACAGGAACTCTCATTTGACAGTTACGTATATGAAAATAGCTCCCTGAACTACAGTCCTTCTGGGGAAATTTAGGCCAGGAAGCTTTTGAGCTGATGCCTTGCAATGAAGTGCCATCTTCTGCTTCCTTTGCAGTAAGTTGAAAGGATAGCTGTGGAGGTCTAGCATGTCCCCGTCTTGATAGGGACTGGGCCAGGTGAGAACTGACCTGCTGCCCTAATCTGGGACATGCTTAGCAGAGAGTTCCTAAGTATCTCCCTCCCTCTCTGCCTGTCTGTTTCCTCTCATCTCTTCCTTAACTAAATCCTCAACCTTTCCTGCTCTTCCAGACTTCTCAGTGGTGAGCCAGCTAAAGGTGTAACACGTAAGAAAGGGAAACCAAGGGAGGGTCTTGTCATGTCTTTTGGGACTTAGGCAAAAAGGGCAAACTTTTAGGGTCTAAAATCCCCTAGTTCAGGCAGAGTTACCAGGGCAGCAACCCCAGACCCAACTTGATAGAATGGCCAGGACAGCCTCCTTCTCGGCTTGGTTCTAGAACTTCTCTGTGTACCCTGTGTTTATAAGTGTGCCCATCCATCCCCTGCCAAACTGTGAGATGCTGGAGCAGTAAGGGATGTGGGGCTGCCTCGGGCAGTCCATTCAACTGTTGGGCCGGGTGTTCAGCCAGCCCTTGCTGAACTAACTGCTGGGTGTAAGGGAAGAGAAGTCACAGTTCCTAAGCACCTGTCCAGAGAATCCACTTTTCTAGTTTTTTCTGTGGTGGCAGATTGTCTAGAAGCAGCTCTGAAAGGAGGATCAGGCACAGCCGATGCTGGCCTCGTATGGGCAGGGATGACTCACATTAAGGTGATGTGCTTTTGAAGCAGCTCTAGGGGGAAGCCAAGAAGACACCTGGCCAACTTTGCATGCACGAGGTGAGTGTGGCAGGAGCCGCTGAGCACCAGCCAAGGCAGGGCAACCCTTGGCGTCTACAGAGTGAAGAGGCAGGAAGTGGAGACTGGATGGATGGAGCAGGAGGAGGTGGAGGGTGATTGGAGAGGCACACAGGCATGAACCACACGCGTGGGGAAGCCCAGATTGGCCATGCAGGCAAGGAAGGGTGATGCCATACCAATGGGCACGGGGCATCCAGTCCGTCCAGCCCTGGTAACCCTGGCTCCCCTTTCTCTCCTTTAAAACCTCGGTGTCCCTGTTCACAAAACCAACCGCGATGATTATTTAGGTCAAGGCTGGCCAGCTCTGACTGTGGAGTAGAGAGGCCCAGTCCCAGCCCGGCCAGGATGCAGGACCTTTGAGGCATCTAGAGGTGGAGCCCCAATCAGTTGAGTCCCATCTCCTAAATCCACTTTCTTTGGCCTCCGGGGGCGTTTAGCTTTGAAACATGTCCAGCCAGCCCCCTCTCCCTTTACAGGCCCACTTGGAGAAAGCAGATGAATTTCAACGTTCGTGCATCGTAATTTTGAGAACCTTCAAATGGACTGAGAAGGCACTTGAGAAGCCCAGCTGATGTGCCACGAGGCATTCCTTATTAGCTCATTAGGGAAGGCTTCCTGGAGAATGTTTGTTTACTGATTTTGGTCTGCAAATTTTAGCTGGGTGGCTGGTGGGCGTTGGGAGACCGTATATTAAAAGTCCGCTTTCTGGCCTTGTTTTGCCCAGTGGGGGCAGAGGTGGCCCTCAGGAGATGCTAACCTGGGTGTCCTGCATCCTGATCGAGTGAGGATGCCAACAGCTTGAACTGCCGGCTACAGAGGCGGCCACAAAACGAAGAAGGCAGATGCATGGCTCACAAATGCTACACTGGCTTCTAAAGCCATCCTGGAACGAGGAGCTGAGACCTCCAAAATCCCTTTCCTCAGGGTCTCTCCACTTCCACACATCAATTGTTCTGCTTCAAAGGAAAAGGATTTAGCCAGAATGACTTGCAGCTGTGGCTTTAAGGCAAAACCAACAGCAGGCAGCATTTCACGGGCCAAGAGCCCAGGGAGGTTTGGTAGCATCAGTGTAGCCATTCGGTTCTCATCTTAGTTTATTTGCCTTCTTTGTTTCCAGCTTGCAAACCTCAAGGAAAAAACCAGAACAAGGCAAGTAATAAATGAAAACATACCAATGGACAGGGGGCATCTAATCCAGGCGCTCCTTGGTCTCCCTTATCCCCTTTAGGCCCTCTAGAGCCTTTCTTCCCCCTCTCCCCCTGTAAATAATAGTTTAGTCCGAGAAAAAAAACAACAACATCAAAACTTTAGGATCATTCATGTGTTAAGGTTAGAGACAGAAAAATAGAGAAATTAAAGCGGGAAAAATAGCTTCTTTCAGTTAGGATAGTCTCTCCCCAGTAGGATTTGGGGTCAGTGCTGACTGCCACCCCTCTAAGAACCTGAGGATTTGGCTAAAGCGCCCAGGGACAGGCAGGGAGTAGGGCGGGGCCTGGGAGCAGGGAACAGGGAGCAGTAGGGCTCAGAGGTGCAGATGGAAGGTACTGGTGGCCAGTTTTGTTAATACTGAGCCCAGAGCAGGTCTATGGTAAACAGGGGCTCGCTTCTTTTTATTGGAGGGTCCATTTTTGAAGGGCTTTGGTCTGACAATTTTTGTCCCAATTGGTTTTCGTCCCTTTGATATTCTATTAGGTGGTAAGGTGATTTTTGTTTAGAACCCAGGGAGTGTGTGTGTGTGTGAACACAATATGTATGAACATGTGTGTGCCCACAGTTATACATATGATATGTGTGCATGGATTCGTGGGCACGTGCTTGTGCATGTGTGCACGTGCATGCATAAATGTGTGTATATGCTTGGGCATGTGTATACAAGTGTGTGCACATGTGTGTCCAGGGCTCAGGATTGAGCCCTGGTTCTCAACTGGGTCTGTCCATTCTATATGTCTCTGGTCCATCTTGGTCTGAAGCCATTGGCAGCTATTCCTATATGGACATGTTGGTTCAAGGAATTCATTTGTTTCTGAAAAGCTCCAGTAAATATCACCTTTCTAAACTGAACACTATTTTTCATGTGCCAGAGTCACTCTCCATTTGAAGAAGGGCTGTGAGGAATCCTTTGGGATGAATTTGAGTTTGGATTTTCATAGGCTGGGTTTCCTTACAAGGGGCGAAGTGCGCTCCTGGGGAGTCTTCCTGGGAACTCCCGTCCCCCGCTGCAGAAAGCCGACTGTCTTACGCTCCCGGAGCGTTTATTGCGGGGCCATTAGACCTTGAAGGAGGGCAGCATATTGATCAGAGCAAAAGCTTAAAGCCAAAGCGGGCCCTGCCTATTGTCAGCAGCATGACTTTGGGAAGTTACTTAACCTCTGAGTCTCAGTTTCTTTACTTGGAAGATGTGGATAATAACACTTGCCTCCCAACTTTGTTGTGAGGTCTTTGTGTTTATTAAGTGCTTACTATTGGCACACAGTATGTGCTCAGTAAATGGTAGCTGCTTCATAATGATAACAGCAATGTTTATTATTTCTTTTTAGCTAGTGTAAGGGTGAAGGCTGCTGCCAGAGGAATGGCCTTGTTGTATCTGCTGTGTTTCCATAGTGGAAGGCTAAGGGTTTTTTAAAGGGAGGCAAAAGAGAAGAATGTTTTGGATGTTTACCATGATCTTTGGAAATTAATCAAATTTCTTGATTCCTGAGGTCCCTGTAATTGCCAATGCATTATTCTAAGTGAGTTCTCTAAAATGCAAATACCTACTTAGAAAAAGATACGTGTTTAAGAGGAAACATGAACATGCCTATTAGGCGTTAAGTGCATTGGCTCTGAGATACTCCCACCAATGAGAACATAATGGCATGAATATTCCTCAAACAGTAGAGAAGCAAAACCACTTGAATTGGTGCTAGATCTAAGTGTATAGATTATGGCACTTTCTGCTCATGATCATGGTTAGATCCTTGGGATGCCTTATTGTTTGGATGGGAAGTCCCACCAGGGTAAACTTTCCCAGGAATGTGGCCCCTCATTCTCCTTGGGTCAGGCCAGGGTAAAAGTAAACGCAGTTTCCTGAGTTCAGAGGGTGGGCAAAGCTCCCAGAGACTGGGGGATTGCAGGGCCCAGATGATTTGCCTGTGGGTAGCAGAGGGTTGGCCTGGTCCTGACTTTCAGGATGGGTTACTTGCATTATGTGGCATCACACTCTAAGGGAACAGGAAATGGCTCTAAATTGAGTGCCCTTTGAAGATGTTAGTGTAGTAGCTGTGCCTACATCCGCGCTGCTCCCAAACAGGCCCTGACACAGAGTTCGTTCTAACTGGCACAGGGAAAGCGGTAGATAAAAATCAAGCTGCAGGGGTTTCTTTAAACAAAATAAACAAGTGTATAAAAATTGATTTTAGAGGAAATAAATTGAAGCTGGGGGAGTGAAAGGGATAGGATGAGGGATATGGGATTGTTATAATGTAGTGAACAGTACAAGGGGAGAGATAAATATTGAAGGAGTGAAGGAAGGAAGAGGCAGGCCCAGGCCAAAAGAGCTGGTAGAAGAAGGACCGGTAAGGAGGCGAGGGCACCTGGGGAAGCAAGACACTCATGCACGCACACACACAGCACACACACACGTGCACCCCGCACCCCCAGCCGACACTTCTTGGAGAGGCATAGTGGCCTCGCCACATGCACCCAGACCTTTCAGTTGGCTGTGGCTTACAGGCAGCGCCACCTTAACACCAATTTTTCTGATGCCCAAATTGCCAAATTCATCACCCCCATTCATCATTTGACAGATTTTTTCATGCTAAAAGTGGCTCCTGGGCCAAATTCACAGGGCTGTAAAGGGACAAGGATAGTGTCCTTGGTGACAAGGACAGAACATTCCTTTCGTTGGCATGTGTGTCCCCTCAGAAGACTGCCTGTTTGGGGCCCTGACCCTTGCCTACCGCAACAAGGACCTTCCTCCTTCCATGAACAGCAAAGAGGCTACAAGACCATCTTCTGGTGGGACATGGAGGAACAACACTTTAAGCCTGAGCCTCAGGTCACTGTACAATGTGACATCAGGCCTGTGCTGCACCCACCAGAGCCTCTGTGATGGGGGCCCTGGCATGTTGTGTGGTGACATTTGGGAGCTTCCCTGTTGGCAGGCACCCTCCATACCCAGAGAGGGCAGAGGGCTTCTAGTATCTCCAGCTTCACCCTCACAAACAACAATGAAACTTGTAACCAGACTCTTACCTAAGCCCTTCTGGACTCTCACGTTGACCAAAGTGTCCCTATTCTGAGCTCCCAGGCATCAGAAAAAAAAAAAATGTCCATGGCAAAGTGCTGACTCTCCCTGGGCCTCCCTTTGTTTTGGAGGCTTTGTTTCTAAGCCCCACAAAGTCCTAATAGGCTAGAGGTGTAAAAAGGTCTGAGCAGGGAGGTGAGGTGTAGAGGAAACCCTTCCAGGACATTCTGGCGTCCTGAGAGTCAAATCTCTTGGAAGGAGAGAGTAAGCTGTTCCTTGATTCCGTAACCTGCTCTGTGGAGTAAGTCAACTGCATCTTCACCATACTCAAAAGAAGGTTCATGCAACTTGACTGCTTTCTGGACCTTCCTAAGTGACATATTGCTAATTTATATATGGGATGGGGGAAAGTGTGTAAAATCTTAGAAGGGGCAAGTGGAGAAGAAATACTTTCCCACTCATTCTGGGGGCCTTATTGGGTCATTCATTGGCCTTGGTTCCTTAAACATCAGCACCCCAGCCTCCCCCTTCTACTCTATCTGGGACAAGGGTGCCTGCCTGACCCGCCTCCACCTCTAAAGCAACACATTCACCACTTGGACTGGTTTTGCAGCCCTCAAATGGCTCAGCGCCTCAAGCCAACTGAAAAAGTCTTAAGAAATTGGTTTACAAAGTATTAATTGAATATAATAAAGAAAACCAGAACATTTTAGAAATAAATTAGAAAGGAGGTTAGTGTGCCAACTAGAAGGTGGAATGATCAATTTTTTTAGTGGCCTAAATTCTTTGATGCCACAGTAAAGAAAGTGGGCTCCCCAGCCTACTTTAACAAGCTGGAGCATTTCTGGAGGTAGGTCTGTTTATTCCAATGGTTCCTAGACTTGGTCTTCCCATGGACAGCCTGGTATGAGTAGCATATGGGGCAAACTGATGCTTTTGACCAGCTGCCACAAAGGAGAATTTAGGGCTATAGACATGCTCAATAAATACATCTTAAATTGAAGAGACTAGAATTGGTGCTAGATATAAGTGTACAGATTCTGGCACTTTCTGCTCATGATCATGGTTATCAGTGTTCAGAGATCAGCTGGAAGATTTGGGTTCTAGAACCCACCTGCCCTGTGCTTTAACTCTGTGCTCATACAGTACATTTCATCATCGTTCTGGGCCTGTTTCCTCATCTGTTCTCCCACCCCTTCTCTTCTCCCCCTAAGATCCTTGGATACGCGGCCCACTAGAAGACGGGGGCGTGCGCGACTCTCTAAGAACCTCTGTGATGCAGCGGCAGCTGAGACATTCTAGAAAGAAATCCAAAGGCCATTTCTTGGTCAATGAGATTAAATGGTCCCTGCTGGGACCAAGTATGTCATGTGTCACATGCCATGATGCATACCATACGGTGTGCAGCATATACAATGACACGGCTGTGGGTGCTGTGCACCTTTAATAATTGTGCCCTGGTGGAGATGGCAGAAACCGAAGGGCGAGCAAGGGGCCCCTGAAGGCACAGCCATTTCAGAGTCCTGCTCACTTTCCAAGAGAAGCGATGGCCGTGGCGGGGCTGGCTGCTTACAGCAGCTGTCTGCTTGTTCTCAACCTGGAATTTATTTTCTCTCTCATCAGTGGCCTGGGATGGCTGGCAAAACTGAATTTCAGAGGCTGGGACTAGGTAACGATGGCTTTAAAAATATCATTTAGGGGCACCATAGAGAGAGCTGGGCACGTGACTCCCATCACTGAGTGGCAATGCTAATCTGATGGCCACCGTGGGATTCAGTCTCCCCTTGTCAGGTGGAAAAATACATGCTTCAATTTCAGGATCAGGCCCCAGGCTCCCTGTGTACCACAGATTAAGCCCCTCACTATAAAGGCTTTTCATTTGCAATGATTTATCAGGAGAAACTATTTGCCATGTTGGGTCAGGAATCCCCGACTGGTCATTCCACCACATCATGAAGACATTAGTAACCGGAGCCAAAGTGCGCGGGGGTCAGACTCACCCGGTTTCCTTTGTCCCCGGGTGGTCCATGTAAACCCTGCAATAAATCAGAGAAATGGAAACACGTTAATGAGAAAACACAGAATGGCTGTACAGTCCTTCCTTCCAGGCTCATAAAGTTCTTCCCCGATGCCTAATTTATTGAAGACAGATTTAATTATCCCCATTTTACAGAAGGGGAAAATGGGGGCTCAAGGAACTTAACCTAGAGACAAATAATGAATTATTGGCAAAACCAAGAACGTGGCTCTGTTTTTTTTGCTCTGCAGTCAACATCTTGCCGTGTTCTTCAGGACCACTCAGGCCGAGGAGCGGTGGGGGCCGAGGACAGAGTCTGGGTAGAGAACTCTCCAGGCAGTGGAGGTATTTGCATGGCTCTTCGGCCATGCTCTTGCTAGAAGAATAACGGCGAGCTCCTCAGACCCTCTCTGTGAAGCTCATGTTGCTCTCCATGTACTCAGCCAGGGGAAGGAGCATAGGCCAAGGCTGGCCTGTGCTGCCAGCTTAGCCAGGGCAAAGCCACTGGGCAGCCAAGCGTGGAACTGGCGAACAGATGTACAACCTTCAAGAGGATGGGAAACAAAAATCTGGTTCTCTTAGTCAATCAACTTTTTTTTTTTTTTTTTTAAACAGGGCAGTGGGAAAAATCATCTCTTGGGAACGCTGCCCCTCTCCTTGCTGCATGACAGTGATCTGGACTTGATTCTGCACCCCCTACTCCGTGAGGGCAGGGGCCATGGCTCATCTCTGAGACCCCACTGCATCGAACACAGAGGCCTGCAGTGGACAGGGCTCATGATGTGTTTGCTACATCTCATCAGATAGTCCATGCGGCTGAGGACCTGGATCCTGGACAGGGACATTTGAACAGTGCCCAGCAGTGTTCTAGCTTCCTCTCTCATAGAAATGAGAATTTTTGTCTGGCCCTAGATTTTCTGCTGTAGCTTCAGGGTATTTTTTTAAACAAATTTTTACTTACTGACGAGAGAGAGAGAGAGAGAGAGAAAGAGAGAGAGAGAGAGAGATGCTGATTTGTTGTTCCATTTATTTATGCATTCATTGGTTGATTCTTGTATGGGCCCCGACTGGAGATCAAACCTGCAACCTTGGTGTACCAGGACAACGCTCTAACCAATTGAGCCACCCAGCGCGGGCTGGGTATTCAGTTTTGACAGTGTTTCTGGTGGTGGATGGGGGAAGTGAAGAGAACCTCTGACCCCGTGGAACTTACAGGAAGCCCAGCTGCTCCCGTTGGTCCTGTCATCCCAGGGTCGCCTTTGCTGCCCTGAAACAAGAAAAAGAAGCCCATGAGCCCTTCTGGATGTAGGAACAACCTTCCCGCCACTATTTTCTGCTTTCAGCCTGAGATATCTCTCCAGTTCCCTCCAACATCCCTCTGGGAAGCAAGGTCTTAGAGGAGGGTTGGGGTGACTGGGGTGGACTCTGTCCCGGGAGGCGGCTTGGAGGCCCCTTCCCCTCCCACCAGCACAGCCTATTCCCCAAAGGCCTCTGCAAGGACCGAGAAGTGTCCCGGGGGCACTGGCTGGCCAGAGGCAGAAGCAGGAGAGGAGAACGAGGGAGGAAACAGGCGTGAGCATGAAGGTAGAGAAAAGAAAAAGGGAACAGAAAGAGCTGTGATTTCTTCTTTGAAGCTGTAAGTGTCACCCTTCAGGGCAACCGCCCTGGTGGAGGGACGGCACTTGGTCCACCTAGGAGGGAGGGGTGAGACTTCCAGGGCTGATGCGGTGACCCTGTGGGCCACAGGTGGCAGGGCCGAGGGCTGAGGCTGAGGCGGCCGCTCAGGCTCCCGGCTCACGGAACACTCACCCTCTCGCCCTTTGGTCCCGCAGGGCCTGGAACTCCAATTGGTCCTGGAGTACCCTGGGGAGGTGAAGGGAGGCAGAGGTGAAGGCCCTGATGCTGGGGGAGCCCTGGGAACCCCGCCCGACGCCTGGAGAGCAGCAAGGTCCAGTGGCCAGTTTTCAGGGTTGGCGAGGCCAGGCTTGTTCAGGGCAGTCGTTGGACTGAACTGTGTCCCTGTTTGGGTTTGGGGGCCTCGGGGAGCGACAGCCTCCCCTGCCTCAGAGCCAGATTTGAGGAGGACACCCTTTTACGTCACAGCCAAGCTTGCCAAGGCTGAAAACGGTAGGAAAATGGTTGCTTAGTTTGCTCCCAGAAGCGCTTGGGAGGGAGTTGACACCATCCCAGGGGTGGGGGGCCGGGGGCTGGCACCCCTTTGCTGTCACAGCTCCACATGCAGCAGGAGGGTCTTCATGCCACAGAGACCGATGCAGACGCACACACAGAGGCAGGCGTGGGAGGGTCATTCAGCCAACGCCCAGCCCACCCGCCCCCACTGCGGCCCTGGCCTGGCCTTCAGCCTCTGGCCGGACCGTATGTCCCCACTGCCAGGCCCAGTGGCACAGGCTGGGCTGCAGAGTGAATTAGTATGCCTCCATGTCTGCTGACACTGGCCTGGAAGGGAGGGGTGTCATCGGCGCTCCTCACTCAGGGCCGTGGGGGAGTTGGGGCAGCTCGAGCTACCGGAGCTGCGTTGCTTAGAGACGGAGCAGGACTTGCTATGGTGTAATTAAACATCTCCCCCAGGTTCCCAATTACAGCTCGGCTAGACAGAGTCTGTATTTCAGAGCTTCCTATGACTCTGCCTCAGTGTTTGTGTCTCCTGCTCAGACAGGAGGAGGTGTGGCTGGGCCCGTGTACAGTTCTCAGTGTTCCAGGTGTGGCTTGGAAGGCAGGGCAGGAACAATGGGGAAATGCTGATTTACTTTACTCTGGGGGAAAAGGGCAAAAAGATATTCTCGTTGCTTCCTTTGCAGCTATGAGGGAAGAAGGAAATCTGTGGGCATCTGTGACAAAAACATGTCAAAAATGAAAGAGGCAAGATGAGAGGAATGGTTCAGAACAGGACTGCGGAGTCACCGACTGGCTTCAGGTCCTGCCTTGAAGGCTCTTAGCTCTGTGCTATGGCAGAAGTTTCTCGGCCTCTCTGAGGGTCAGCTTTCCCACCTGTAAAAGGGGGATGATAACACAAGTGTCTGCCTCTCAAGCCGCATTTGATGCCCAGTAATTGTCAGTATTGGCAGGGCAGGATTATTTTTCCCATAAGAATTTTCCTTTAAGGTTATAATATCAGTTTTGTGAAAAAATAAATCTTCAGGTCTGAGGGGACAGAACGTATGAATTTGCACTGCTCCCCTCTGCCGTACATGAATGGAGTCTCGGTTTCTCTCATTCCAGCCCCAGATCACGTCCCTAGTTCTGACTGCACAGGGCGCGGGAGGGTGGAAATGGAGGGACTGCGGTGGAGAAGCAAAGCCATAATATTGCTTGCGCAACGGGTATGTTCTCCATTTATGAGAATCTATAATTTTAACTCCATAAACACGTGGTGGGAGAGGCCCAGGTAGACCTGCTCCTCTGTCCTGTGTGCATGTCCCCTCCACAAGTGAACCCTGCAAGTTCTCTTCTTCCCCCACGTGTCACTCCAGCCACCTCATTAGAAACTTGTCTTTTGGGCAGACCAAGCACCTGTGGCCTCAAAAGCGCCCCGCAAGGGCAGAGCTGAGATTCACTGGCAGGAAGAGGCTGGGCACACACACAGCTCTGGTTACAGCTGCTCTCAAGAGGCAAGTCTGGCCTCCTGGCCCTTGGTGGCCAGTGACCCCAACACCGTGGGAAGGGACAGGCTTCAGCTGGGAATGCCCCTGCCCTTAGGACCTCAGAGGGTGATCTGGGAGGAGGGCTGGAAGGTGGCGGGGGGGGAGTTTTTTCCCTGATGCTTCAGCTGTTTGTAAAAAAAAAAAAACAAACCCAAACAAACCCAAAAAACAAGGAAGAAGGAGCCCAGGCCTGTATGGCTCAGTTGGGTGTTGTCCCACAAACTGAAAGGTTGCTGGTTCGATTCCCTGTCAGGGCACATGCCTGGGTTGCGGGTTCGGTCTCCAGTCGGACCATGTATGGCAAGCAACCAGTTGATGTTTTTCCCACACGTCAGTGTTTCTCTCCCTCTCTTTCTCCCCCCTCCCCTTCTCTCTAAAATGGAAAAATAAAAAATACTTTAAAAAAAAAAGCCCACGTGCTTTCTAGTCACGAGTAGGTGACATGTGTTCTCTGGAATTAAGAGAAACAAAGGAAGAGGGGACCCAAGTGCCCATCAATTAGTTCTGCATAAACTCCCTTGTTGGGATGGATGAATATGGTGCAACGGGCAGTGAAGGGCATGGTTGTGACATGCCCACAGAACATTGCGCTGGGACGGGCACGTGCGCTTCTAGATGCTACAACTGCCCTCACGCGTCCATGCTGTCCCCACCCCATTCATGTCAGACTGGTGGCTATGCAGGACTAGGGAGTCCCTGTGGGCAGACAGGAGGTGGACAGAGCTCACAGCATGAAGACAACACAGCATGACGGGCACATACAGACACTGTTGTGTTTGACGGGGATGAGTCAGGGCCCAAGTCCCCAGGGCTGGGCTCCCAGCCTGAACTCGGCATTCATGTAGGAGGGTCTGTGCTGCTGGAGTGGGACCGCCACTCCACATCCGGTGGTCTGGAAGTGCCGATTTGAGGGCCCGGGGTGCACACTACGAGCGGGGAAGTTTAGATGAAGGCCAACCATCTCTGGTCAAGAGGCCAGAATAAGCACTTCTGAAGTGAGCACACATGGTGCCGCCTTCCTGGTGTCAGTAGTGGGATAAGGCATGACTCACTGGGAAAACGAGGCCAGAGTGGGACAGACGAGAGGGATCACAGGCCAGGGGTAGGATGGGGTGGGGTGAAGGGTAATGGAGAAGTGACACTCACCGGTGGCCCAGGCCTGCCGTCCAAACCTGAAGCTCCCTGGACAAAGGGAACAGTTTGACCAAAAGAAGGGTAAGGGAGGAATGGGAGGGAGAAAAAGGGACCAGGGAGGGAAGAGGTGAGTGAAGCAGTGACTCTGGACAGACATAAATGCTGGTAATCAAACAAAACGGGAGAAGTAAGCTTGGGAGGACAGGTAATGGTATTCACATGGAAACCAACGAAAACATGGAGACACCGAACGCAGTGTGGCCGACTGCTGAGCAGGCTGGGTGATCAGTGCAGATGACTGTTCTGCTCCTTGTTGGCCCCTGCTCCCCTCTCTCCTTACACCCCCTCTCAGAAATCCCTCTCCCAAAGGGTGGTATCACTCGAGGGAAAGGGATATAGAAAGTGAATTCGTGGGGAGGTGCCTGGAACCTGAGCTAGTACATCCTTCCCAGGACCAGTCTCCCTGGGGAGAAACAAGCCCACTTGGAGGGTGGGGACCTGGTGAGAGTGGTCTGTTCAGACTAGGCCACACTGGGGAGCCCGTGAAGCTTGGCACCGAGTTCCAGTACCTGGTTTTGAAACCTGGTTGATGCTTCTACTTCAGCCGGGTGGGAGGAGTTGGTCCTTAAATGATAGCACTAATGATGCCTCACATTTCTCTGGACCTTTGCAGTTTGCAGATCTCAACACTAACTCAATCCATTCATGTTGCCCTAGACAAGGGCTCTTTTATAGAAAGGGGCTTTGGGGGCAAGTGACTGGGACAGAGGTCAGGCCATGTATGCCCTGGAGTAAACTGGGTAGAAGGTGGGATGCTGTTAAGACCCATTCACTATCTGGTGTTATATGCAGTGGGAAGGGAAGCTCTTCCCCACCCTTGGGCCATAAAGCTGTCCCTGAGACCCACCTTGGAGAACCAGGGGAAAATGATCTAATGATTCCAATGTGACAAGCCAGAGAGATGGGAGCAAGACACTCTAACTCAGTAAGGACTGAGTTCTTGAAAACTGCTTCCAAATGAGCCTCAAAAATGAGCCGAGGCCTTAGGATTTTAAAGGTCGGGGAACGCTCCCCTGAAAGAAGGCCAGGGAGCTGCTTCCTTCTGGGGTAGGGTGTTGGTTGTAGGATCCTACAGGGCTTTGCTTCTCCTTTGGAGGACCTATGTAATTCTGGGACAGTCTTGACTCATAGCCTAGAGAGCTGTGGTTCTCAATCCCAGCTGCAACATCAGAATTTTCTGGGTGTAATGTAAAATAATACAAATGCCTGGTCCCACCTCAGCCCAATTCGACCAGAGTCTCCAACAGGGAGGCCGGGGTCATGGCAAGTAAGAAAAGCTCCAGGTGACTCCAAGGTGCAGCCAGTGTTGAGAACCACTTCTGTAGGGCAAATAGGAAGAAGTCAATAGGATATGCCTGGGAAAATGCACTGCTAGTATATGGAATAAAATAGTGAGATGAAGCCTAGAAACAGAACTTTAGCTAAATATCCACAAACTTTGTCTCTTCATATTAATACTGAATTATCTCGAGAGGTCTGGAGCACAGTGCACAAACTGGAGGTTTTTGGGCTCTGTATGGGCCACTGATATATTTTCTATGGCTGGTTTTTGGTTTAATGTAAGAAAATAGGGAGATTTCACATAAAATGCCAGATGTCCAGCTTCCTTTGAAAAATTAGAAGTTCCCCGATGTTTTATTGGATCCTCACTCTCCTAAGGCAGCACAGTCAGCTGAAATGAGAAGGGGCTTATCTCCTTTAAAAAGGGACAAATGGTCTCTAGGTGCCATAGTTCCCACCACTCCCTATTGTCTCTCTGAAATCCACGTTAATTGCCATTTATGAATATATTTGCTTTGTTGTTTTCTTAAGCTAGCAAAAGTATTTCTTTGTACCCATGTCTCTATCAAAAGTAGAAAAATTAAAGATAGACTGGATACTTTGTCTTTCCCCTGGCATTTTCTTTGTTGATATTACTTGTTTGGTCTCTGTGCCATTTGCGTTTTGACTGAATTCTCCATGTTCACTAGGGTGGTTGGGGCCATGAAGGTGGACAAAGAGAGATTCGTGGTTGAGTAAGGAGTACTTAATCATTCCAGACACAGCAGAAGACATGGGAGAATGTCTGCTAAACTCATCAGTTTTCTGAAGTCTGTCAAGCGAATCAGCTGCTTAAATGTTCCTACTTTTGATGCACTAATGAGAGTGTAGTTACATCTTTTCTCTTGCTTTTGGTTGCTGTGATTATATTAACCAGACCTTCACGCTCTGCCAAGCTGGGGTAATTGGGCTTCCCATTGTTCCCCTGCTCTTTACGGCTTCCTGGGGAGGGAACTGGCCTGGTGCCTGGGACGGAGGAAGCCCCAGTGGCTGGGAAGAGCCCCTAGCAAGGCTGTGGTCTCAGTGGGGGAGGAGCTTCTGGCCCCTCCTGGCCACGGACGTAATATGGGGCCTTGAGTGACCTACTTTCTTCTCTGGGCCCATCAGTCAAATGATTAGCTGGATCACTGAAATCCCTTCCAGCTCTTGAAAAACAAACCAAAAGGAGTGCCACCCTCACTGGAGCGTGAGGGAGGACCGGAGCCCAGCATGGTGGGGTGTGCTCCCCTGGCCATGGCGACCAGGCCATCAGCCCATCGGAGCTTGGGGCAAAAGGGTTTGCCCAGCCCAGGCCCCACGTCTGGAAGGGCCTTCTGAGGAGCCCTCTACCCTGACCTGGGTCCTCTAGCTCTGGGCAGGCTGAAATCAGAGATCTCAGGGAACTGGGATCTTAGTGGCCTTAGCTGGAGGGGACCAGAGAATCTGACTTTTTACATGCTTTTCTTTTCTTCTGTGGCCAGTACCTCAGAGTGGAGATCGGGGTGTTCTTGGGGCCCCTCTGGGAAAATAGAGGAGTGATGGAGAAGACTCCATGGTCCCACTGCTCCCAAGTTCTCCAGGTGTGGCCCCGGTAAGGGCAACATTTTATTGCCTCTGGATCAGGCACATGTAGGGCCTGAGGCTCTTCTCAAGCCACCTCTGGCTCTCCAGCTAGGCGCTCTTTGGGGTAGGCCCTGTCTTACTTAGCTCCACATTTCCCCACAGCGAGGCCAGGGCCTGGCCCGGGGAGGCCTCAGTAAGAGAATCAGAGCCTATGGTCTTGCCCAGGTGGGAAAGCAAAAGCACGCTGAGCTCTGGAATGCCCAGCACCTGTCGGCACCACCTGGCTGGGCTCCTCTCAGCAGGCCTGCTGGGTCCGCGATACTTACGGGTAATCCCAGAGGACCTCGGTCTCCTTTTTCTCCCTGGACACCCTTCTCTCCTTTTGCTCCATCTAGTCCTGCTTCTCCCTGAAGCAAAGGAAGACGGGGGGAGATCACAGAAGGGCACGTCTCAGACCAGTCATTCTTGCATTCTGAAGTCCTGGAGAGGGGAGTGGGTGCAGGGGAGGGAGGAGGTAGACGAGGGGAGGTAGAGGAGGGAGGCAGGCTGGGGACTCCAAGAATCCCTCACTTAGCCTGTCTCTGCATTAGCTGGAGTCCCCTGTATCCCTGTAGAAACTTGGAGGTCACCCAAAAGAAAAGAGATGGCAGAGGGGACGCAAATCCACATGGCTTTGGCCTAGGTGACTCTTTGCATGGCAGAGACTGGGACCCTTCAGAGGCTGGCTGGCAGATGCCTGAAATGCCACCACTGGAGCTCGGAGGCTCCCAAGCTAATTGGGAGAAAAACTGCCCAGTGGTCCTCTGAGAAGTGCTGGGCAGGAGGCGAGGGCTGCCGTCATGCCAGCAGCTCCAGCTCCTCTTACCCATTTGAGATGCTTTCTGGGGGAGAGTGGGAGACCCCAGGCCGGGGTGCAGTGGGCTGGGTTCCTGGGAGGGGTGCCACGCCAGGCAGCTCTTTGTTCCCCCCCACCCCCCATACTCCAGGGGCAGTGAAGGGTCTGGGGCAGGTTACATGGGAAAAGGATTTTATCATCTGTCAAGAATCTAGCCTGTCATTCTGTAGGACTCAAGGATGGATGGGAAAATTTCAAATCTGAAGCCTGCCCAGTGTCAATGATGGAGCTATACAGGGCCATAGGCCTTCATTCTGTCCTGGTCATACTTCGCCGGCCGAGTGTCACATGATTCCATCTAGGGAAGGGGCCGGCGGGGCTCCCCCTCTGAGGCACTTCCCCTTTTTTCTGCGCTCATTGATGCAGCCCCCTTCCCCCACGCCTTCACCCCGTACCTGTCCATGGCCTCTTCTTACCTTTGGTCCAGGAATGCCTTGGAGCCCCTGCGTTTGGAATCAAAACAAGGTGCCTCAGAAGTGCAGTTCTAGTTAAGTCAAAAAATTCTTGGCCACAAGCTGGACCACAACAGTGCAAGGGCTTAGGGCGCAGAGCCTGGCCTGGGCCCCGCCCAGCAGGGGCAGAAGGGAATGCTAAGTGGGGTTGTGCTTGGGGCTCCCTGGGGTGGGGCCTATGCCAGGCTTCCCCAGCCAGGAACTGAGGGAGAGTATTTCAGTGTCCCCCACGGCTGACTCGGAGTCTCATGGAAGGAAGACTGAGAAAAAACAGCAAAAGTTGAATAAATTAATGTGTGCAAAAGGCTTAGAGCAGTGTCTGGCACATAGTGACTTAAGTTACAATAAATATTGGCTACTATCATGATTACTGTTACTACTTCTACCAAAGGCGGCGGTGACATAGTGCCGTAGGACCAGGAACCTTGCAGAGGCAAGAACTAGCATCTGTGGGCTTAGGGTGCTTGCAGGGCTCTCTAGGTGCAATGCAAAGGGGTCTTTTTAAAGGCCTTGTCTTATTATCTGTAACCATGGAAAAGCCCATCCAGTGGGGCCGGTTTTAAATGGGTCGCTTTATTTTTAACCCAGGTCTTCTTGCTGGCTGGTTAGTGGGAAGAAGGAAGGAGAGGAGCAGATGTCTGACGGCAAAGGTTAGAGCTTGGTGACAGAGCGACTCCTGCAAGGCAGAGAGACTAGACTCCAGGGCTGCCATGCCACTCGACTGTTTCCAGGAAACCAGGCAATGCCCACGCTCCTTGGTGTCACCAAAATGGTGCCTGTTTAATGGGGGGGGGGGGGGGGGTAGGGGTTTGTGGGTGAGAAAACCCTGCCCTGGGAGGAGGAGGTGGCAGTGACCTAGTGCTGAGGCTGAGCCCAGTGACTACCATGGGGAGGGGACCTTAGGGGAGGGGACCCAGTCACAGTAGACTGAAATGCTAATGAGCCCTCCAAACTTACCGGAGGTCCGGGAGGCCCCTCTGGCCCTGGTGGCCCAGGAACCTAGAAGCCAGAGGGAGATGGTTAGCTCACCCCTGCCTGTCATGTTCTAAGTGGCCTTGCCTCCTGACATGGCCTGGGGTCCAGTGGGAGACTTCAAAGCCAAAGGCAGAACTGCCCAGTGCACAGTCTCCCAAAAAAAGGCTTACAAAATAAAGCTTTAATTTGTAGACCCCTTACAAACTAATAGCAACTCATTAACCTTTACATTGTTGCAAAAACAAAACCAACCAACCAACCAACCAACCAACCAACACCGCTGGCAAATGCCCTCGAAACATCTATTCTCCCAGATTTAAAACAAAAACAAAAATAATCCAGGAAATCTGGCAGCAGGAGGTTCTCGATTATGCATGACAACAAATGCCTGGAGCTGAATGGGAGCTTTCCCCTCCAGGCTGGGTCATGAGATCTCCAGTTTGCCTCAGTTCCTACCACTCTGTATTGTCTTTATCCTGGACCTTTTGTGTTTCTATGTTGCATGCCTGGCCATTATGGCCATTCGAATTTGAGACCTTTGGCTTAAAGGAGCAGGGATTGTTTATCTGAAAAGCGGGGAGGCTGAGATATTGCTGAAGACCATTCCTCAGGTCCCCCCACGTTTGTAGCAGAGGCTGCTGGACTCTGCCTCCCTTGAGGGCAGGTTGAAGTAGAAGAGATTCGTACTGGAGAGTGAAGCTGGGGAACCCAGGGCAGTCTTCCTCTGTCTGGAGCGTGGCATTCATCGCAGGTTCTGTCTCTGATGAAGACGAGCACCCATTTGTCTACAGTGCCCACCCTAGAGGTGGGCAGGAGACTTGCCTGCTCCTCTCTGAACTGGTCACCCCACTTCGGGTTTAGGGCTCTTCTCACCTTCCCAGGGGTGGAATCCCTTGGATGTGACCTGGGTGGGGACCTTCTGCTGGGCCACCATAGAGTGAGCTCCCACACTGGGCAGATGGAGACCCTTACTGTCCCTTGAACCTGTGGACTTTTCAGCTTCGTAATACATAGCCTCCTTGCAGGGAAGCAAGGAAACTCTAATATTTGGAAACTCTAAAAAAAAAATAAATTACTCCTTGTTTTTCTTATTATAAATAATTCATGAATCCTGATGGTGGTAGTGGTGATACATATCTATGCATGTGTTAAAATTCACAGATGTGTACACACACTCCCTCAAAAGTCAATTTTTACTATATGATAATTAAAATATAAAAAAAATTTAAAGTAATACAGATCCATTAAAATACTTTATAAATTAAAAAGAATTAAAAGGAGGAAAAGGAATGAATATCTGAGTACTGATAATATTTTGCTTTATTTCCTTCCACTCTTTTGATGCATATAAGATATTTGGGTCTATGTGCATCTCATGATATTAGAGAGATAATTTGATTCTCTGCTCTTTTTCATTGAACATGAAACCCACTTTTCCATTTTTTTATATGTTTCTCAAAAGCTCCTTTTAATGTCAATGTGCTATTCATTGAGTGCAAGGAAAATGAGTTGCTACTTAGCCAGGGTTGGAGCAGTGCTTGGCACAAGGAACGTTCTTCAACATGGGGACTATTGTTGCCATCGGTATTATTGCCATAAGTTATTTAATCAATTCCTTCTTGTTAGAAATGTAGGCTGTTTCCAATTTTTACTTTAAATACATCTGGAAGGAACATTTTTGGGTACAATGCCTTTCCTGAATTTCAGAGCATTTCTTTAGGAGGCTATCCATCTCCAAATAAGTAACATACATGTTGTATAATCAGGTCTGTTTCATTAAATGCAGACAGGACTTGGTGACATTGAAGTTGACAGGAGCCAGGGGACTTCTTCAGGGACTGAGAAGGCTTGGTGGTCTCTCCCTGAGCTCTGCAGTGGTGTCTGGGTGGCCCATGCCTTCCCACCAAATCCCCTCGTCCTCCCGTGTCCTTGACCTCTTGCTTTCCTGGCTCTTTCCCTTGAACCTACACATTTGCCAGTTCCTCCCCATTTTATATGAACCTGGCTTCCAGCCTGACTACCTCTTACTCCACTGCTCTCTTCTCTTCCTTTCACCACCACACCTCTCAGAAAATAATGCCTCTCTCTCTAGAAAACCTACCTCTGGAGCTTCTAGGCAAACCTCTACAGAGTCTTCAAGGCTCTGCTCAAATGACCTGCCTTTGGGGATGGTCATCCAACTCCCCGACCTGCTGCCACTCTAGTACCCACTACGGGGACTGTTTGCTGCACAGAGACAGGTCTGTTTATTTTCTGATCTCCAGGCTCCAGCTCCAGGAGTGGAATGTGGTGGGTGCTCGGTGAAATGTCACTGAGCGGCTTGATCAATGGGGAGACCACGCAGCAGACCGGGGCTACATGGCTAACCCTCTGTGGTGCTCAGTGTACGCTCCTGCCCCCTTCCTGAATCAGGGAGTTGTGAGTTTCATTCTAGATCGCAGAAATTCTGTGCACACTGGAGGGACTGGTGTGACGCAGTCCCTGTCAATTAAACCCTGTGACACAAAAGGCAGAGCAGGCACCACCTACCTCTACTCCTGGATCACCCTTTTCCCCAGGTTCTCCTTTCTCTCCCTGCGGGCACAAAACACCATGGCGTGGGTGCCAGCACTCCAGGGGACCTGGGGCAGACATACCCTCATATCTGTGGCAAACCAGATTGGCACTATGCTAGGCCTGGGCGTTGGCAGGGAACACCTCAGAGGCTATGGAGGTGGTCAGCCTGAAGGACAAAGGTGGGACAGGTGGCCTGTGATCACTGCCTTTAATAATCTGAGTTTCCAGGATGAGTAAGCCTCTGGGGGGTGTTGCGGGGCAGAGGAGGATGTTAACGAGGGAGCTCGCACACCACACTCAGGAGCACTCCCTCCAGCTGGGAGCTGTCCCACAAGGAAGGGGACATGCCAGGAGGCGGTGAGCTACCCCCTGTCCTAGCTGAGCAAGGGCAGTCACAGGTGGACTGGTTGACCTCTGAGGTTCTCCTTGTAAAAGGAGAATTCTGAGTCTAAGACCCTAGGACTTTTGAACTATCTTGGCGCCTGAAGACAGAGGCCACCATGCTGTGGGCTGAGTGAGGTGGAACCCTTGTTTATGCTCAACTGCCCCTCATCTGCTCGTGAAGAGGATGCCCCTCCCCAGGGTGGGCAGGCTGGGGGTTAGTGCAACCTCATCGCAGTGCAGGCGCCTGCTGGGCTGCGGACTGCAGTGAGGGGTGCCCCTGCCTATGGGCGCTTGTCTGCAGCTGCCTGCCGGCAACCTGGATACCCAGCCCTCTGGCCTTACTGTAAATCCCGGAAGCCCGATTGGGCCGGGCAATCCTGTCGCTCCGGGTCTCCCTTGGCCACCTGGTTCTCCTTTCTCCCCAGTTGGGCCATCTAGACCCTAAGGACCAACAAAGATCTGTTAGTCAAGCGCAAGGTCATCATGCTGAGCATCTGTGACCCAATGTGGCGTGCACACATGGCTCCCTTCCTCCAAGGGCAGGTGTCTAGGATGGTGACCACTCACAGGTGAAAACCCCTGACGCTCAGAGAAGGCTCCCAAGCCAAGGCAGTGGCCTAATGGAGTGGGCTAAGTACCCCCCCCTTTTTTTTTACAAGCAAGCTTTCCCAGGTAGAGGGCTTCTGCATGCTTTCCCAAGAGGCAGTTTTAGATCCAGACTGTATTTCTTTCCCAACAACCTAGCGTGGTATCCAGGGAAAGTATTATTATCCCTATTTTAGAGATGAGAGAGCTAAGGCTCTGCCAGGCTCAGTGATGTTCATAAGAAAATGACAGAACAGGACTCAGGTCTCCTGGGGTGGGACACAGGTCTTCAAAAAGGAAGTGGCTTGAGAGGAAACCAGGTAAATCCCCTGCCCCAAACTCCTGGCTCCAGGTTTGCAGCCCAGACGGTGCGTGGGGCCAGCATCATGCTGGGGGCGGAGCATGCAGGAGGGCAACGTGGCCGGCCCAGTCCTGGCACTCACCGGTGGGCCGGCCTGTCCCGTCTCCCCTTTCTCCCCCTTCTCTCCTGGACTCCCTGGGTGTCCATCTTCTCCCTTTATTCCTGCAGGCCCCGGCTTTCCTGGGGGGCCTTGGGGACCAGGAGGGCCCATGTCCCCTGGTTTGCCTCGAGGTCCCTTTAGAAAATATCAACAACACTGATTAGATAACCTAGTGGAAAAAACAGGAGAGAGAACATAAAAGAACGGGTAGCCCGAAGGACTCGGTTCTTCTGTGCTTGGTTGGACCTGGCAGAGAGCCTGTACAATGCCCAGTGGGGGTCCAAGGGGCTCCGCCGCCCGCCCCAGCCCACCCCAGCGTGGGTCTGCTGGCTTCTCCGAGGCCAGCAGTGTGGGGCTCGGCAGGGCTTCTGCAGGGTGTGCCTCCCCTCCCTTCCTCTTCTGCCTTCCCCACAAGACCCACCCTGGGGCTTCTTCCAGAGCCTCTGCCCCATCACCTCCCAGGGCAAAGACTGTCTTCTGAGGTTTGTCTGGAAGTGTCCGTTCGTACCTTTTCTCCATCGTGTCCTGGAGCACCTGGCAGTCCAATCTCCCCCTGCAGACAGAATAACTAGAGGTTACTCCGGAGCAGAGAAGAATGACAGCTGTCATTTACATAGCCCATCCTGTGTGCCCTGAGTCCCCGGAAGGCATGGGCTTGCACTGTCACCTTACAGGTGACAGCGCAACACTGAGTTGTGTGCTCAAGGCCCTCCTCAGTGAGCTCAGTGGAGCCAGGACCGGAGCCTGAGCACTCTGGCTCTGCCGTCCGCATTTCAGTCCTGACCTCGCACACTGCCGCTTGGGACCCTGGGCACTCACTCCAGGGCTCCATGGGAGGGGTGCCTGCCTCCTCGTCCCCTTCAAACCCAGCCCTCCTGTCCTGGTTGTCCTACAGGGAGCTCCTTTCATTTTCACATCAAGCCAAGGCCCTTCTTTAGGCGTGGGAGGTGTGGCCTCTCTTTTTGAGGCCAGGTAACAACCAAGTGCACCATCAATGGGTAACGATATATGTGCTCTGAGAGGAATGGAGAGGAAAGGGCAGTGAATTCTACCTGATAGATCAGAGAGGGCTTCAAGGGGGAGGTGGGCTTTGAAAGGGAGGGGAGAGGGGAAGGGGTTTCAGGGCAGGGGGCCTCATGAGCAGAGGGCAGAGGGGCAAACATGCAAGGCCTTCTGAGAAAAATCACAGGGGCTGGGGGCAGAGTGTAAAAGGGAGCGAGGGAGGGGTGAGATTGGGAATGAGCGCAAGGGCCATGTAACCCGTTGGTGGATTAGGATCACCGCGGTGGGTTTGGTTGGGGCAGGGTCTGGTGCGGCAGGCTTGCCACATCAGAAGGGCTCGTAGGTTATAGGCACTCAAGACAGGCAGCCAGGGAAGAGTGGCAGAGCCGAGGGCGGGAGCAGCGGTGGCAGCTGAGATGTGGGGGGTGCCTGACGCATCGGGAGGAAGTACGGTCCAGAGTGAGGTAGTGGCTCTGGGACGATGAGAGAGCCACGGGCTGAGGGATGGCCACGGGTTCCCGTGCACAGAGGCAGCCACAGGCATCGCCCCTGTCAAGACAAGCGTTACCTTCTGGCCTGGGATCCCCGGAGCTCCAGGAGGGCCGATTTGTCCAGGAGGACCCGGGGGCCCCTAGGAAAGAAAAGAAAGACTCAAGGAAGAACTTTCTGATTGAGGAGGAGGCGTCTGTCACCAGAGGGGTGTGCACAGAGGTGGTTTATAGAGATCAGTCATTTTCAAACGTTCAACAGTGGCAGGAACATTTTCTTTGCAAAGGAAATAATATGGGAACTTTTCAATGTAAAGCAGATAGGTGCTGAGTATGTGTGGGTTAAAGTGGGCGGTGGGGATCCTGGAGCCATGCCCAACAGCCTCTCCCTCCTCTTCCCTCTAAGGCACCACTGGGGGCTCCCGGGCTCCAAGAAGACAACTCTGACTTTCCCTGACAGTGACTTAAAAATGTCTTCAGGAAACAACCCAAGTGTCCATCAACAGGTGAAGGTCTGATTCATCCATGCAATGAAATGCTGCTCAGCAGTAGAGAAAGGACCAAGGGTGGTACCTGCCATGCCATGGATGAAACGCAGACACACTGTGCTGAGCAAAGAAGCCAGATGCGGACACCTATACACCCTGTGATTCCATTCGTAGGGAACGCTAGAAAGGACACGTCTCATCCACGGTGACAGAAAGCAGATGAGGGGGGCTCAGGGTGGGGGTAGGTGAGGGACTGACTCCTCAGGCCCATGAAGGAACTTTCTGGAGTGACTGGGGTGGTGGATGCATGTGTACAGATACATTTGTCAAAACTCAGCAAACTCTACACCTAAAAGGGGTACATTTTATTGCATATACATTATACCTCAAGGTTGATTTTAAAAGAAAAAAAAGTGTTTTCAGGAAAGTTTTGCTTCCAAAAGCTATTTTAAATGATATATTTTAATGTTTCCAAATGAAACTCGTTGACTCCAGAATCATGTGGTTAATGAACACCAGTTTCTGGGATTGGGACATCATCTAATTGGTGCTTGATTCTGGGTTTGTGTCATCCCTACGTGTGTTCTGTGGCACGTGATCCCTAAAAATATTCAGTGAAACAAAATGCCAGTAGCTGGAGAACTTTGTGATCACCCCTCTCCTCTCCACCTGGTGCTGGTGTGTTAATTACGAGTATTCACAGACAGCTGTCCCTGGTGGGCACGTGCGCAAACTCCAGGCTTGAAATGCACTGGTTTTCCAGGTGTGGGTGATAAAATTGACTCAAATGCGGAGGGTTGCTACTGGCTTTTTAGGATTATGCACTTTGTCAGCTGAAGGTTGAGAAAAAGGAGAAACATAAAAACACCCTCCTCTATATCTCTATTCCCTTGACAGAGCTGTAATGGGAAGGCAGCATTTACACTGTGACAAGTGTGCACAGCTGCATTGGTTGAGAGCCGCTTGGGTGGACAGCCATGGCCAGAGTGGGGGCAGCTCCCGAGACTCCCTGCTCAGACTTAGCTCACCCTCTGCCCCAGCACCGCTAGGTCAGCCCTAACCCAGAAAGCCCCGCGGCTGCTTTCTTGAGGCAAGACCTCCAGTCCTTGCTTCCAGGCTGCCCTCCTCCCCGCCCCTGCCTGGTGCCCGGCAAAAGTGAAGAAAGAGGAAGACTTACGATCAAGGTCAGCGTTGGCATCTCCTAAAAAACCAACACCATGCAATCAGGTGAAGAGCAAATCAAGTGCCATCTGTCAGGTCCCCTTGGCCCAGTCATGGAACCTGGGCACTGGGCCCCTCTAAGGAGTGGGCTCCATGCCCCCCAGCCCCATGGAACCTCCACCTCTCCCAGGTGTATAATCACTGGGCAGAGAACGCCCCACGTCTCATGGAATGCTGCTCTGAGGCTGTCCTACAATGGACTCAGACAAGCCCTCAAATGGCCTGCAACCTTTCTTTCACTTTGCCAAAGAGGGAAGAAGCAACATCCCTTATTGTTTCTAGTTGCTGACTGGGACCCTCCCTTGCTGCTCCCTGTTGTCCAGTACATAGATCTCAAGGTTCTGATGTACCGCCCTTTAAACAAACAGGCGCAGCATAGCAAAATATGGGATCACTCAAAAAATAATTAAATGGATAATTGTTGGCATTAAAAAAGAATTGTACATCTCGTAAATGGATTCACACAGTGAGAAAGTGTCCTTTAAAGAAGTGGTGCAGTGGGAGGTCAGTTTTGTGCCCCGTGGACATTTGGAAATGTCTGGAGACACACTTCAGTTGTTATAACTGGAGGTGGGGTGCCACTGGCCTCTGGTGGGTGGAGACCAGGCGCCCTGCTGAACATCCGGCAACACACAGTGCAGCCTTCCTCCACGGCTGCGCTGCAAAGATGACCCCAAATACCAATAGTGCCAAAGCTGAGAAACGCTGCGTTTGCGGGTGGGCACCATATGAACTTGAAATATGATAAATTTGATGCAAAAGGGAGATGTGTTCCAGGAAGACAGATGCTATCATGTGAAACGGGAGTGTGTGTACCGAAGAAATGAGGCCCCCAAACCTTGCATGGGCTGACGCCCCGCAGGGTGCCAGGATGCTCCAGGTATGGTTCTGCGTTACTCAGAGCCAGGGTGGTGGGCCAGATGGGCCCAGATGGAAAGCCAGGCCACCTGAATGCCAAATGAGGGGGCCATTTGCCTGGAGGCTGCACAGTGGGAGGCCAAAGGAGAGAAAACAAGGGAGCAACTCTCCGACTCTCTGGGAAGCCCTGCCCAATGGCCTGGGCTCAGGGACATTAACCCAAGTGTTGCAGCGCTCCCTTCTCTAGGCCTTGACGCAGAGTCCAGAGGCCTCCAAACTCTCGTCCCAGGCCAGCCCGCACTCACCTGGAGAGCCTCGTTGATGCTGGCACTGCAATCCACCGTCTCTCCTTTCCCTGGCTCTCCCTTGGAGCCCTGCAAGACAAATGAGACCTCAACCCTGGGCCAGCAGGGACCTGATGACAACTGCTGCCTATCAAACGGGACGATAGCCAACACTGGCTGCGCCTGGCTACAGACAGGAGGATCCAGAGCAGCAAGAAGGGGAACCTCTCAGGGGACTCCAAACGCTCTCAGAGGGCGCTCAGGAGCTCGGCCCTGTGAGAATGCTGAACTAGACTGACCTGGAGAAGACTGAGTCCAGTCACGGCTGCAGTGTCAGACCTCCTATCGGGGCTAGCAAGCTCTTCCCCTCTCTCCCCCTCAAGACCCCAGGGACAAGCCACTTCATTCTGTGACCCCAGGGAGGTGAGACGTTGTGCTGAGACATACCTTGGGGCCAGCAGGTCCCTGTTCTCCAGGTGCTCCAGGGTCCCCCTATTGCACAACAGAATTGGAGTGAAATGGGGATAAAGCTAGGCGTGAGAGAACCTGCCGCCGCAGATGGGCCATGCGTTAGGGGCCATGGAGGGGCCAGGAGGCTCCTTCCAGCTCAGGTCCTGTACCCTAAAGTGCAGGCTCCCCTCTGTTATGAGGCATCTGCCCGTCTCCTCTCTCCCTCCGAACTCCCTCCAGCTTTGCATTGAAAGATATTCTTTCTGTCCTGCATTAGTTGTTAGTGACTCTACCTGTGTCCATCTGGCCACACCCCCCTCCCCAGCCCTCTAATTAGCCACCTCCTTGTGAGCAAAGACCAGGCCCTGTGATTCTCTTCATTTCCATTCTGCTCAGGTAGCGAGGACTCAGAAACTTGTCACCAGTTGCCTGGGTCAATATTTGCCATGAAGAGCCTATGTGGTCCTTTTAGGCTCCCCTCTGTTTGTGAAAGACCCAAACTACAGGATAAAACACGGGAGGGGTTGGGGAACAGAAGGTATTAGGAACCCCCAGCCTCCCCGAGCAGGTGAAATGAGGGAATTTCTTCCTGTTGGAAACAGAACAGAATGATGGGGAATAAATGAAAGTGGTGTAAATTTAGTTCAGTTGTTCTGCGATAATGTTAACATTGATGACAATTTTGAAAAGATAGAAAGTACAAATAAAGGCAAAACAAACCCTTTACTATATAACTCCACTCCTGATGACTCTGCAGTTGGCCAGCTCGTGGTGCGTCTAGCCACTGCCACCTGTGGGTCACCTGCCTCTGCCTCCCTGCCCCACAGCATTTCAGTCATTGTGCACGTGGGAGGCACACAGCAGCACCCCCAGCCCGTCCATAGGGAGCAGCTGGAGAGAGGTGGGAGTCCACCATTATCAGTGGCTTGGAAGCTAATGGAGCAGGGGATCCGGGTCACCCCCAAGCCCAAGCGTCCTGTCCCCTGGCCAGCCTTTGCGTGATTGCTGTCTCAGGGGAGGGGCACAGACAGGGGTCATGGCTGGTCAGCCTTGTGCTCTGGAGGTCCAGCCGCAGGGATGGCCAAAATCCTAATCTCTGAGCTGGGGCTTGGACTCCCATGCTGACCCTCATCCTACAGCTTTCAGGTCTGGGGGTCTCCATACCTTGTTTCCCTGCTGTCCAGGGGGGCCGGCCTGGCCACTGACACCAGCTTCTCCCTGGGGAAGAGATGGGATGAGGGCATGTAGGGCAGCTTGGATAGTTGCTCAAGGAGGCAAAAGACGGTCCTGCTGTTAATGTTCTGGGTATTAAGTGTCTTTGGGCCGCTATCTCCTATCTGACTCCTACCCACGTTTGGGCCCAGCCTGGGCCTCACCTCCTCCTGGCAACACTTTTTACCTACTCCTTTCCTTCTCTGAGTTCTGCTCTGCACCCTCCTCCCCTCCCCAAGCCAGGCCCTCCTCAGTTAACACACGTGCCCGGTTCTGTCTGGACCCCCAACTGAGGACTGCCAGCAGCCCGTAGTGGGTCATTTTGGAGCTGAAACGCTTGTGAAGACACATCTGATCCTGCCTGGAAGATGAGGGGACAGTGAAGGCTCTGGACCTGTGTGTATGTGGGGGGTTGCAGTGGGTTGAGGAGGCCTAGGGATAGGTAGGATAGATAGTAAACCAAAACAGGGAGGAAGAGGGAAACATCCCACCCACTAACTCAGCAGTCCTAGCCGGGCCCGATAATATTGCCAAGTGTGCCGCTATCACAAGCAAAACTATGATAATGCAGGAGGGGGGGAGCCCTTGAAAGTCTGTGTGTATCATCTCTACTAGCTGTGAAAAGGAAAACCTTGAGACTGTGTATGCATCCCAAGGCCTGGGAGGTGGAAGAGTGTCCACAGTGCCCCAAAGAAAAAGCCCATAAAACAACTTGGGTTAATTGCCCGCCTCCTGTCAGGTATCTGTTTTATGGCAAATAAACAAATGGAGTCTGGAGCAAGAGAAGGATTCGGGGTAACAGACCCCCACACATACCTACATTTGGTCATGTCCCCCAGGGAAAGCTGGCACCGCCGTTACCTGTCAGTCACTGTGTAACTTCTTCACCCCCATCCCACCAACTATAGTAAGTCCTCAGAACAAAGAACCTGATGCCTCTGGCCACCCAGCCCCTGGCCACCCTGCTCTTGCCACCCAAGCTCTTGCCTTTCATATCCACCTTAGCTGGGTCCATTCGCTCCCATGAAAACTTAACACTAATAAACTTTGCTTGCATGGTAATAGACTCGCTGATCTGTAAGTCTTTACTATGTCGGCAAGAAGAACTGAGTTTCTCCCCTAACACTAGGACAGGAGGGGCAGAGGAGGTAAGAGGAGGCGCATTCCAAATACGTCACTTATTAAACATTTGGCTGGTCTTGGAAAGGGGACGTGATTTTGGGAGCAGTCTACTAGCTTTCCCTTTCTTTTGTTCCAGGGAGCAGGGACAATAGTGACCAGGTTTCTCCAACCCCAAATTAAAACCCAAAATGTACCAGGTATGCATGCCTTGTGGGGTCAGCAGGACAAACTCAAAAACTGGGGATGTCTGGGGGCCCAGGTGGCAGGTCCATCTTTGGCAAAGCTGGTGCTCATGCCAGGGGGGTTCTGCTTCGGCCACAGTCAGGTGGGCACAGGGCATGGGCATGGGGAAGGGGAAGCCATTTCACCTTGCCTGCCTGTGGGGTTCCTTGTGGTTCGCTGCACTGTATTCCTGTGAGCTGTGGGTTTGTTTGTCCTGCTAGACTGTGGGCCAGCTGAGGGCAGGTGCTCTGAAGGCCTGCTGCCCATGCAGGGCTCACCCATAGCAAGCCCTTGATAAACTTCAGTGGAATGAATGCATGGTTTGACGTCAATCATAAGGGTAATGAATCTTTTCCATATAGGTTAAGGAGGAGACCCTCTCATTTCCCTGTGCTCCTAAAACAAAGCAAGCATCACAGGAAGCATCTGCTTTGGGAAACCCAAATCTTACCACTGCATCTTCCACAAAGAGCAAGGAGAGTGTGGGCAGTCCCGTTTGCAGCTGTCTCCACTGCCCCCACCCCTGCTCCCCGAAGTGTGCTGCCACCAAGCAGGGTCCAGCAGCTCACTGACCTGGGACCTGTTCAGAGCCTAGGCCAGGGGCCTTTCTGGCCGTCCTAAGGTCCTGCAGTCAGTCCCTGATTCAGTTACCTCACAGCCATTTGAATCAGTGGGGCCATCCATCTGTCCTGTATTGACATCTCTCCTGGATGGTCAAACTGTCATTGTTTGGAAGAAGGAGCTCTGATCAAGTGACCTTTCCAGAATCCACTGGAAAAACTACACTTCTGGAGCAGAAGACTAGAGAAGGCAAGGTGCCCGGGACACAGAATCTCCCAAGAATGGGCTGAGGATAAAAGCCTCAGGCTAACATCTCCCTTGAGAGGAAGACTCACCTTTGGCCCTGGCGGCCCGGGGAGCCCTGGGGGACCAGGATCCCCTCTGCCTCCTCCAATGGAATTGCCAGCATCACCTTTCTCTCCCTGAGAATGGAAAGCAAGAGTTACCATCACTGAGTCCACCTAGCTCTGGAGGGATGGGGTTGACGACTCTCTGTCTCCCCCTACAGCAAAGACGTAGAGGCAGTTGACCACCCCTCCGTCTAGGCTAAACTTGGTGGGGGTGGGGATGGGCATTAGGGGTCTGTGGGCTCCAGGAGGGCTGGGAACCAGGGGCCTTCAGAAGCCTGGCCTGGTGTGATCCAGCCATGGGTTTTAGTGGAGAATGGAGCTGGGGGCTGAAGGGGAAAAGGTTTAGAGCTGAAACAAGAGACCCATCAGAACCTGGGTCTGGAGCAGTGCTTCTCAAAGTGTATTCCACGGAACACTTTTTTCCAAGGGGTTGAAAACTGAAATGAGGGGGCGAAAAAAAAGGCCTGGTGACCAATGTTAAGAAAGGTGGGATGAAATGAAGCTTTGCAGGCTCCTTTGCAGCAGGAGGTTCAGAGCTCTGACAGGCTAAGGTGTCCCACTATTACCCAAGGGGGCCTTCCTTAGACACCTCTCCCCAAACTTATTTGACCTCTAGTCTTTTATCAAATGGGATCACTTACAGAGCTCATGGACCATTGAGCACATTTTCAGAGCTGGAGCAGAAAAATCTGACCAGGTCATAGCTATTGAACTCTGAATTTGGGCCTTTTTTTTTTTTTTTTTTTTTTTTTGCCAATCAGGGTCTCCCATGTGGTATCTCATAGCCTCTCCTCTAAAATGGAATCTGACTGTGTTCCAGCTGCTTCCCTCCAAATCCAGGGGAGGTACCTCAGATGCGGGACTCCTGTGAATGTGCAGGGCTGGGAAAGTTAGTGGGTGAACACTGAGGCCTCTACGCAGAACTCACCATTCAGAGCTTCTCAATACCCACCTTCTGCCCCAGGAGGCCAAGTAGCCCGGGGGAGCCTGCAGCCCCCTTCTCACCCTGCAAGGGAAACGCAGACAATGCAGGGTTAGAAACTTTCTCCAGGGTGTCAGTGAAGGCATCACCCTGCCAGCGCCGGGCCTTGGCTTTCCTCTCTCCTCCCTCCCTTCCCCTCCATGAGTTGCTTTCTGAAGGACTCCCCTTCCTGAAGGACGCTCATCTGGGCCCAACTCCTTCCTTGGGCCACTTCACACGGCTGACGACCCACACCATTGTTCTCCTGACCCCTTATGGACTGGGCTCTCCTCACTCACACAGGGAGAGGAGCCAAGAGCCCTGAGTCCTTTTCGGGGTCTCCTGGGGAGCAGCAAGCAGTTTGGAATGCCGGTAGTGGGGGAAGCTCTTCCTTTTAACCCCTTTGCTCTTTTCATGTTCCTAATGTCCAGCAGTTTGGGGCCCCTGGTCTCCAGGGAGAGCTTTCTGCCCACCTCCTCCCTGCCTCTAGAGAAGACAAGAACCACCTAACTAGAACTTCTCTTTGGAGGAATATTTTGAGGAGCTTGCCTCTAGCTATGGGTTGCATTGTGTCTTGCCCCAAATTTGTAAGCTGAAGTCCTAACTCCCAGTACCTCAGAATGTGACCTTATTTGGAAGTAGGGACATTGGAGGTATAATTATGTTATGAAGTCATACTGGAGCAGGGTGGGCCCCTAATCCAATGTGACTGGTGTCCGTACACCCAGGGGAAGCGTGGCCACTGACTCTCCTGCGGGGAGAACGCCTTGTGAGGATGAAGGCGGAGACTGGGGTGATGCTGCTGCAAGCCGAGGAACGGCCAGGGTGGCAGCAAACCCCCAGGAACCGGGAGACCGGCCTGGAGCACATCAGCCGTCACAGCCCGCAGAAGGAGCCGGCCCTGCTGACAGCTTCACCTCAGGCTTCTGGCCTCCAGACTGTGGGATGATAATCGTCTGTAGTTTAAGCCACACAGTATGTGGTCCTTTGTTGCGACGCAAAACCAGCGTCTTCCGCTCCTGGGGAGAACTCTTTCCCCACGGTGTGAGTCACAGAGCCCGCTCTCAGTGCAGGTGAAGAGGCTCTGTGACTGCGAACAACCCCTCCTGCCTCAAGGCCTGGTGCTTCACCTTCTCTGCCACCAAGAGTTCACTTTTCATTCACAGACTGGCTCACATCAGGAGACCCCCACCCCCGCCCCGCCACAAATGCACCTGCCCGGTCAGCGCGAGAAGCCCCCCTCTCCATAGCCTGGCAGCCGGCGGGTCACATGTGTAATAATATAAATCGAGGCCTCTGGGTCATAATTTGCTCAATTAGGCTTCAATGACCTTTCCAGCTGGGGCCACAAAAGAAGCCACACCAAGTCATTGGGGGTCAGTCCTTTGTTACCTGTCCTTGGGTAGAAGCTGAATGGCAAATTGGCTTGAAGCTGGTCAAGGAAGGGGAGGAGGCTGGGTAAGGGCCCAGGTGATGGGAGCACAGTAAGTCTCGGGACCCCAGCAGGCCCTGCTTTGCTTGGGCTGTGCCTTCGTTGGGCACGCCCTGAAATAGGTCAAAAAAGAATGCAGTGCTGCCCTACCATGGCCCTGGGGGAGTGGGGACAGAAAGAGGAAGGGCCTTCATTCTGCTGTATTTTCCTCCCGGGCAACCAATGGCTTTCAGGGAGGGAGGGTTGCTCTGAAGCTTCGCAGCCTGTCCCAGCGCTCCCCTCCTCCTGGGGACGCAAGCGCCCAGAGCACACTGCAGGGGGCAGGCCAGCCACGGGGGTGGGGCAGGGAGGGGGACATCAGCGGAGGCTGTGATGAAGGGCGCGCAGGCTCAAAGACAAAATATCCTACCCTCTGTCCCCTCTTTCCCGGCAAACCTGGGGGCCCCGGCTTCCCTGCTGCTCCTGGGTCTCCCTGGGGTAAGAAGAGAAAGTCACTCCTAAGAGGATGAAGGGGGGGGGGTCATGAGGGGTGTATGGACAGTGTTCCCAGAATACTAGTCCCACAAGATGCTCCTCTGAAAAACAAGATGTCCTGGTCAAAAAAAGTTCAAAAATCTTTCACAAGATATTACCCTTTTAGATGTTAGAGCTTTCCAAACCATTTAGCATATTAAAGGCTCTACGAAGGCCTGCAATGAAGAAGCCTGTGTGCTATTTTTAATCCAATATTTCTCAAACGTATTTGACCATGGAAACTTCTCCTCATGTTACATCTTTTAATGAACTACATGAGAGAGACAGAGCTCTGCAGGTGCCGGGACCATGGTTCCCACCTCCTGGAGCAGGTGCACAGGTGACCCCGGCAAACTGGCTGAGCTGTCCAGGCCCGGGTCGGGTAGCAGAGAGGCACTTGCAGTGCATTCGTGGGCAGCGGCTCCTCCCTGGCAGGCCTTCCTCTGCTCGGTTGGTCCCCAGCCCCAGGCCAGCCTCAGGGGTCCCGAGAGTGAAACAGCAGCAGCCCCTCCCACCTCCCCATGAAACCTGATGCGCCCTGCAGCCCCGAATATTTCTTTTTTATCAGTACCTTGGCTCCCGGGGTCCCTGGTTCTCCCTGTGTGGAAGAAAAAAGACTCAGGTGAAAAAAATGAGAGGGAGGGAGAGAGCGAACAAGAACAAAGGTGCCCAGGGTTCTTCTGTGCTTAGACCTCAAGCCCCAGGCCCAAGAGGCTGCCCGGGCCATTCCTTAGCCTCCCCTTAGGTGGTGGGTGTGGCTGGTGTGGGTGTCAGTGAGGCACCCCAGGAGGAAAAGGAGGATAACACGAGCTTTTGCTTCCCACATGGTGCCCCCTGTAAGTGGCCCTGCCGGGAGAGCCACACTGAGCACTTTTGCTCTGGGGGGTTTCCATCCCTCTGCCTGTCAACCAACGGGGCAGTTAGGGTGGGGTTCAGGAGGGAACCCTGCTCTTCTCCCTGAAGCTTTGCGAGCATGTAGCTGCTAAATTTCAGAGTGTGGAGAAAAGCTCTGGCCCCACTGCACATCGCAGGAGGGTGAGACCAGCAGCTGAGGCTGGGAACCCTTTGCTACTTCCTTGCAAAACTTAGGTAAACATCGGTTGTTCAAGTTATGCATGCACTGCCAAAACTGCTGCTTTCAGAGACATGTTTCGCAATCCCATCTGCCCTGTCCTTGGTTCAGAGCCCCTAAAGCCCCGGCTCTGTCTTCCTCTCTCCATCTCTCCCATCCTGCCCCTCAGTGTCGAGTTACAGCGTTCCACTGACCTTCATCCCAGCCACGGAGATGCCCGGAGCCCCCTGGCAGAGAGAGGAAAAGGCATGGAGACTTGTGCAGGCAGGCGGAGCCTGGAGGAGCTGGCCAGCCTCCCGGCCTCCCCTTGGGGAGATGTGAAGGCGGGCTGCTCACTCCTGCCTGCTGCCCAGGCCCCCAGGAGAGGAGAGGTGCTGAGCTCGGCACCAGTCGGAGTGCAGGGGCGGGGGGTGGTGGTGCTGAGGAAGACGCTCTGTACAGCACAGCTCGGCCCCAGGTTTCCCACCCACTGGCTCAGTACCCAAGCTGTTCTGGGGGAAACAGTAGGCACCATGGCAGGATGCCCACAGGTGAGCCAGGTGGGGGCATCCTGGCGTTTGATGAGGGGGAGGGCTTCATTGGGACAGGAGAGAAGGAGGAGGAGATGGGGAGGGGGAGAGGAGGTAGAGCAGAGGGGAAGGGGAGAAGAGTGGATGGCGTCCCCACACACAGTCCACCCCAGAGAGTGTCAGGAGGATTCTCCTCACAGGAAGCTCTCCGGACTCCCGCCCTCACAGACGGGGGAGCAGCTGGCAGTGAACCCCATTTCCATGTCAGCCCAAGACCATCTACCTCCTTTGGGAGTGAATAGGCTTTCAAGCACAGTGCATAGTAATTCCCAAGTGGAGGTGAATTTTAGGGGGTGCCTACTCCCCACATGGGTCTCAGGACTGTAGCCAGAGCTGGGGTTACCTGAGATTTTTATGGTCCCCAAATGCCCAGAAGTAGGCTCGGCCACATCAGAGGGGCACCGGTGAATGATGGCTGTGGGCCAAACAGGAGCAGCCCTGTCTGGAAGGACCGGCTGGTGCAGTAAGGGGAGAGGGCCCAGGAGGAAACGTGTACCCTGTCTTCACAGTGAGATGCAGAAAGGGGGAGCGTGGGAGAGAGGTGGGGTTGGGGAGGGGCTGCCCGCGGTGTGGTCAGGGGAAGGTACCTTCGCTCCGTGTTTGCCCGGCATCCCTGGCATGCCCCGTTCTCCCTGAAGGAAGAAACAGGAACAATGAGATGAAGACCAGACACAGGACCCCGAGGCCTTGGCCCTTGAAGCATGGTTGGCTAGGATGTCGCTGAGGATAGTTGGTCTGGAAGCTTGGCAGTGGTCCTGCTAGGATGAGCTTTGAGGACCTGCCATCTCTGGCAACCGCCACGGGCCACTCCTCTCAGCCATGTGAGCTTGTAGAGGGGTCCCGGTCACGGATCACAGTGCAGGACAGCCCCCAGAGAGAGGCCCACCAGAGGAGCCTGAGTCCTATGTGGTCGGAGGGGACAGGGTAAGTTGTTCAGGATCTACTGCCAGCCACGGACCCGGCCGACCTAGAACTCAGTGCTGTGGGGTGGAAGTGGCCCACTCGGCCACTTACCTACTGTACACCCTCCCTGCCATCCTTGCCTGGGAATTCTTGCCCCTTTCCCATCCCAGCAGGTTTGCTCCATGGTACCTGCTGGCTAAGCCAGAAGGGCTCCTGCATTTCATCTTCTTCCTGGGCTTCTTTCCCTCCCAGGTTCCTTGGGTCTAACTCTTCCCAAGGGCCTAAGTGGCAGAGGGTCTACCTGTATTTTGGGTGGTGGGTGACTGGAGGTGAATCAAGGCACTTCCTCGATCCTGTCCAGAGGCACCAGGACAGCTATCGCTCCCCCAAGATATTGTGAGGCTGAGACCATCTCAGCAGTGCCCTGTCTTTCCCAGCACCTCACCTACTGCCCTGTGAAAATGCCAATCTATGGGAAGGGGCTGAGCTTAAGCAGAAGGACAGGGATTGTACTCTCCCATCCTTGGAAGGACATACCAGGAGGAGGTGGGGTTGGAGATGACAGCCAGTGACAAATGGAAGCTGAGTAGGTGACTCGAGACTAACTTGTTATGTGGGGGGAGGGGTGAGCAGGGAATAAAGCAGGACAGTTTCTGTCTCCATGAGTTGAACTCCAAATGCAGTTCCAGCCAGGGCCCAGAATGCTGTGCAGCGACGGGTGACAACTGTCAGCTTCTGTAGCTTCCTGCTTGCCAAGGCCAGCACTGTGGATGGCCACACAGAACACGGAGAGACCCTGCTTCTGGCCCAGCTTCCTCTATTGGGCCATGCTGCCATTCCCACAGGCCTACAGGCCAAGGGGGACCTGGTCCCATCTGGTCTCCCTCTTTTCAGCTGCCCTCACCCCTTCTCTGCCCCTTACAGGCAGCCGTGGTCCACGCTTACGCTGACCAAGAACAGAGCCACTTCTGTCTCTCTCCTCCATGGTTGGCCTTCACGCTCCCCAGTCCACAAACTGGAGAGCGATGCTCCCTACTTTGACACAGCCACTGCCTGGCATCGACTGTAGGAAAGAGGCCAGGCTCAGGAGCCTGGCCTTCCATCCTCACTTTCTTACCAGGCTCATCACTTGACACTCTGACACCTATTATGTTTCCCTGAAAACACCACCCATTTTCACGATTCTATGACTTTCTGCTATTTCCTCAATACCCTATTCATTGTCGGGGGCCCTGATCAAACACTGTCTCCTCTATGAAGCCCTTTGCTGTGCCCCAAGCCTAGTGCTGGTCGCTCAGTGCAGCAAGGACCCCTGTGCATTTGCCATCTGTGTGCACAAATCCACGTCAGCCTAGGATAGCTCATCCCATTCTCTTTGGGCCAAGTCTCTGAAGTCTGCAAAAGGTTCAGAATCTTCAGCTCCAAACCCAGCATCCCTTCCTCTTCCTGACTCACAAAGAACCTTGAGACACAAGCAGAGGTGTGGACTTAGGAAGTGACCACAGCAGACAAGCCAGTGCCCCAGGTCTGCCCTAGTCACAAAATTTTGGGAAACCCCTCTTACAGGAAAGAGCAGAGAAAGGCGTGGCCATCAACTGCATCTGCCCTGTGTCTGGCCCTGGGCTAAAGGGCTTTATATCCTTCTTATACTCAGTCTCTAAGAATCCAATCCTGCATGGGAGTGGTTGTTGTTCTTGCTTCACAGGTGAATAATCCGTAGCTCAGAGAAGCCAGACATAGTTGCCAAGGTCATGCAGAGCAGGGATTTTTACATAGGTCTTTTGCCTGCTAAAGCCCAGGTACCCATTTCTCCAGGCCAACCCCAGCATGCCATGGGCTGATGATCCGCCTGCTTTCATTAAACACCCTCTGCAAGCTGAAAGCAAGGGGAAGCCCCTCTCTGCTGGAGGGTCCTCGAGGCTGTGTCTCAGAGGCATGAAGAGGTCAGGGTGTGAGGGCGGCTCAGCCTAGAGCCCCCAGAGCTGGGTCTTTAACCACAGGCACACAAAGAGCTAGGCAGGGCCCTGCCTGCCAGCACAGGTCTGCCACATGGCCAGCAGAGGGCACCACAGGACCTTGCCAGAAGTCTGGCAACTGCAGCCAAGAGGGCCTCAAAGCCCTTCCTCTGGAGAACCAGCTGAGGGCCCCTGTCACTATTTCCTCTAAAGGACTGAGATGGCCTGCTAACATGCCATCCAGCTTAGCTGGGTTGACTTAGCCCCGAGGACACCAGACAGAGTCCCCTGCGGTGGGGGGTACAGGTGGGAGGTCAGGCTGGGGGTCCCTGACTATTTAGGGATTTCCCATTTGTCTTGCTCTTCCCTTCCCTGGTCTTTCCCTCAGTGGCCCTGCCTCCCCTTCCCACCTCCATTTTGGGGAGCTGACTGGGAGTCAGGAAAGGCAGGCCGGCTTTGTGACTCTGGACAAGCCACTTTTCCTGTTTGGGTCCAGGATCCCCTCCTGCAAAGTGAGATTAGACTCGGTGCTTTCTACTCACCCCGGCTCCTCCATCTTCCCCCATCCCTCCCCGGCCCTGACATTTCGGAGGGAGAGAGGCCGCAGCCGGGGAGGGGACAATGGGTCTGTTAGCAGCTCCAGAAGAAGGCTCCCTGGTGCAGAGAGTTTAGTTCTTGGTAAAACTGTGGCTCTAGGAGAGGTTTCTGCTTTCTCTTTCTCCTGTCCTGAGGAGATACTCAGCTTCTTTTGCTCCAGCAGGGAGGAGGGTGGGGTCTGCTCATCCTCACTGGTCTGTGCTTCTGTCTCCAATCTCCACAGGAGCCATGCAGAACAGAACCCAGGAGTGAGGGTTTCTGGCTAATTGGGCTTGTCTTCAGCCCATGCAGGTTTGTATGTAAAGACACAGCCATGCCCTCCAGGGAAATCTGGGCCCCTCTGAGCCTCCTAAGGAGGCAGCCTTCCTCATTAGCGTTGTTGACCTTTGCCCCTTCCCTCTGCCTGGGTCAGGTCTCTTAATTTTGCAAATGACTCAGGCTCCCTTGATCCGCATCTCAGGGCCTCCCTCACTTCCAGCCCTTTGCTGGGCAGGAAGCAGGAGTGCCCTCCGCTGACCCCGCCCTGCAGGCTCAGTCCATTTTCATCAGTCTCCTTTCTCCAGGCCTTGTCTCCACGGGCTTTCCCCAGCATGACCTCTGAACTAGGGGCTGTACTGGTCCTAGCCAGAAAATATTGATTCCTAGACAGCGGGTGAGGCGAAAGAGGGGTGAGAGTCATTGTCAAGGAGGCCAGGGCGGGTGTTTGTAGGGAGCAAGAGCAGGGTTTCTGGCAGCGAGCGCTAGAAGGAGACCGATGCTGTTCCTGGAGTTTTCCTCGTGCATGCCTTCATGAGGGCATATCGAGAGGCTCCTTCTTTCCTGTTTTCCTTCTTAAAAGTGTCCCTCTTCAAACGGTTTACATTTGGAATGGTGCTGACTTCAGATGCACTAACTGACTAACGTCTTCATCTTAGGTGGGAGAGGAGCTCTCAGTTCATCCCTTCTCTGGTGACCATCCCATGTCTTCCCAGTGGGACCGCAGGGGCTTCTGCAGTGGTTCTCAGCCACCCATGCTGGGCCGTCCCGCGGCTGGGGAGGCGGGTGCCTGAGCATTACAAAGGGTATTGCCCCAGGTGCACAGAGCATGGGTGGCGCAAGCTGCTGTGGAACCAGGCTTGTGACCCCCCCCCAGGCTGGGCTGACCCACCACCTGGGAGGCTGGCTTTTTAACTGTGGTGCCGAGAGCCAATGCTTGGATGCCAGCCTGGAAGGGGTAGATTCCATTCACTGTGGCTTGGAAAGCTCTGGGTGAGCACAGGTGGGTAGAGAGGGGCTGCCTGAATGACCTTGAGGGCCTGTCCCAGCCAGGACTTTTACAGTGTCCCTGACTCGCCAGCTGGACCCTGTGTGTGCTCATGCTACAGCATCAATAGGTTCCCTATGCTGGGCCTCGTTTCCAGGTGTGAGGACCCATCCTTTCCCGAGATGACAGGATGGAAGCGAGCCCCTTGGTGCACAAGCTGGCCATGCTCCCATCCGGTGGGAGTGGCCTCTTAATGGGTGATTTACTGTTTGTGGAACAAGTGGAGCAGGGACTTGGCAAGACGATGTAGTATAGAAGGAGGTGGGGGCTTCAGGGTCAGCTCCCCAGCCAAGCAAGGTCAGTCCAGAGACACATGGGGAGATGAATGGATCTCCCTAATGTGAGGCTCCTGCTGCAGCCCAGTGCTGGATGGGGGTGGGGGTCTTGGGCCGAAGCAAAGCAACTCCACACACAGACTCTTTGTTCTCTGCAGAGAGGAGGAAGGCCTGTCTGAGTGTGGGCAGTGGAGGGCTGGGGTTGGGCCAGCAGGCGGCTCTGGCCTGGACCCGGGTCCCTTCCTGGGCTGGAAAATCCAGGTGAAGAGGGCCAACGTCTTTCTCTCCGGCTGAAGAGTTCCCAGGACTCCTTTCCGGGAAAAAGGCAGCTCCCTGCCCTTACTCTAGCCAGCTCCAGACCAGAGAGGCCTGGAACCACGGAAATGCCAGGTCCTCCGGTAATTGGGGCTGGCAGGAAGCGATCTGGGGAATTACCGGGGTCAGGCGCCCCATTGAAGGCCAGGGCTTTGGAAGGGCGGCTGGCTCGTAATCTCGACTTGAGATCGGTTGATTTTGTAGTTAGTTCCAAAAAGAAAAGTCAGCTCTAATTAATCTGCGGACTTTGGAGTGCAGGAGAAACAGGGCCCAGGGAGTAGAGG